AGTGAGAAAGGCTCGCTTTATAGCACCAAACTCTGAGTCACGTCCCAGAACAGTCCAGTACACAACACCTGCAGAAAGGAGAAGGCTATGGTTACATTTTATTATGTCTTGCATATTCTGGGATTAAGTAAGTGACACATTTTTCATGCTGAACTGTATACAATGTTTGATGCACTCTATATTTTGGGAAGCTGCGTGGAAAAATAAGATGATGAGGAGTAGGTGCAGAAGTTGGCCATTTAGACTATGGAGCCTGTTCTGCCATTCAATGTGATCATGACTAATCTTATAGTCTTCAATTCCACTTACCTACCTTTTCCCCACAACCCTCAATTCCGTTATTGATTAAAAATCTGTCTGTCCCAGCCTTGAATATACTTATTAACCTAGCCTCTACAGCCTTTCCCTGTGGCTGCAAGCCTCTGTGGCCAGACATCATTCTCACAGGAAGTAAGGTGCCATGAAGCTCATTGGGTGACCATATAGTGCTTGATAAACACAAAAACCCCTTTTTCATTTGTGCTCCCACATTTGAAGAAAACAAATCAGAAAATCACAGTCCCTTTTCTTTTAAGTTTAAAAGAAAAATTAACTAGTGTGCTTTCTCTAAAAAAAAGTTAAATGATGAAGTGGAAGATCATTTTATATCAATATAAAGAACTGCTGGCATAAATTCTCATTCCAATATGTACCTTGAGATCTTGAAAGCGTTTGGCCTTGAATTAACTCAGGCCATGAGCATGGCTTGCTGGGGTTTGGCCTCAGGAGATTTCCCCACTACAATGCTGGCAAAAGATTCAGGTCACTTTCTCTCCTGAGCTTCATCAGCATTTTGACAGAATTATTCCCAACTAAAACTGATGAGAATCATTACCACACTAATGGATAGGAGCAGGATTCTGTATAAATTTGGGTCCCCACAGAATTAGTCGTCAGTGTTAAAATGGTCAGGGAGGTCTATAGTAGATCATGGTCAGGAGGAAAGATTGGGCAGGGAGATCAAGGTTTCTAAAGACCATCAGAACAAAATTAACAAGTGACCTTGGCTCGTTTTGTCCATGCTAATGCTTACCATTGTTAGAAACAAATTGCTTTGTGGGACCTTGATTCTAACACACTAATGATGCCCTCATATGCCTTTAGGATGTGCCCTATCAAGACCAAATTAAGTGTTGGTAAAATGGTTGCAGCAAGAGTCTGTAAGCGCCTGACTGCTGTTTTAACTGTGTCTTCAACTCATTCCAGTTGGGTAGCTAGCATCTTTTAGTTATAGGTCAACTTGTTAGTCATGTCTCCTAGAATCATAGAATGTCTACAGTGTGCAAACAGGCCATTTGGCCCATCAAGTCCACACTAAACCTCCAAAGAACATTCTACCCAGAACCAGACCCCTACCCTATCCCTGCAACACCGCATGTCCCACGGCTAATCCACCTAACCTACACATCCCTGGATACTATGGACAATTTAGCATGGCCAATCCCTCTAAAGTGCACATCTTTGAACTGAGAGAGGAAACTGTAGCACCCAAACAGACATAAGGAGAATGTGCAAATTCCACACAGACAGTCACCGAAGGATGGAATTGAACCGGGACCGTGGTGCTGTGAAGCAGCAGTGCTAACCACCGAGCCACCTTGCTGCCCAAGGTCTACTGACTTTGTTTTATGTGAATTTTTTTTTTCAGTTAGAACTAGCTGAAAACAAAGTTCACTTGCACCACAGTGTTCCTGTTCTATTCTCAGTATTTTCAGAATAATGGTGACAGCCTTAGACTATTGAAGTTCCTTTTAAGACACAAAGAATTTTTTAGTTAAATGGATCTGTTGATTTCAACCCTGGTTGCTGACTAGGCATATATTGGAAAATGCACAAAAGAGTTTATATACGTAAATTTAATGTCTTGGCACCTGAATGTTTACTGTAAAAACATTTTGAAAGCAATAAGCCAGACAAACGTGTATCATGTTACAATTCATATGTATATTGTGATTCATTTTGGAAAGTCGAATTTGAATGCAGAATGTAGGGTTAATGGCAGGATTTTCGGCAGTGTGGAAGTACAGAGGGATCTTGGGGTCCACGTCCATAGATCCCTCAAAGCTGCTACCCAAGTTGATAGGGCATATGGTGCCCATTGGCAGGGGAATTGAGTTTAAGAGCTGTGAGGTTATGCTGCAGCCCTATAAAACTCTGGTTAGACCACACTTGGAACATTGTGTTCAGTTCTGGTTACCTCTTTACAGGAAAGATGTGGAAGTTTTAGAGATGGTGCAGAGGAGACTTAGCAGGATGCTGCCTGGATTGGAGGGCAGGTCTTATGAGAAAAGGTTGAGAGAGCTACGGCTTTTTCATTGTAGCAAAGAAGGATGAGAGGTGACTTGATAGAGGTATGCAATATGATGAGAGGCATAGATAGAGTGGATAGTCAGAGACATTTTCCCAGGGCGGAAATAACTATTATGAGGGGGCATAATTTTAAGGTGATTGGAGGAAGGTATAGGGGAGATGTCAGAGGTAGGTTCTTCACACAGAGCGGTGGGCGTGTGGAATGTGCTGTCGGCAGTGGTCGTGGAGTCAGATACTTTAGAGACTTTTAAGGGACTCCTGGATAGGCATATGGAGGATAGTAAAATGTAGGGTATGCAGGGTAGATTGATCTTAGTAGGATAATATGTCGGCACAACATTGTGGGCCGAAGGGCCTGTACTGTGCTGTACTGTTCTATGTTCTATTTCAATGCTTGCATACTTAAACGAATAGGCTGTTTACAACAAAAAACAATTGGGATGTTGGCTGTAATCGAAGCTGTTTATAGAGCTCTGCACTGCATCAGGGAGGGGATGCAGAAGAAGACTGATTGTAGTGCTACTGGAACATGTGGTCCCAACAGTGAGTGTGCAGAAAATCAACAGAATCAACCATCAGCTTACCATTCCAGCTAGAGAATGCAGTGTAGAGAAAGTTGCAATAGAGAAGAGAGCAAAACTGGTCATTCCCCTCTTCTAAAATTAAGTCTGGACATAATTAATAATTTAATAAGTACAGACAAGAGGATTCCCAGTGAGAAACTGTCATTAATCAAGAGACTTTATGCATGTATTTAATCTATGCAGAACGTAACCACACTTAACTGAATTCTCTTTCACACTTAAAGCTAATTTTCATATCATTTACATACTGAGATCTGGATCTTCTGTATCCCAGATATAATCAAGAGCTTTGATGTCCTCTTCATTCTGAACATAATCCGTATATTTTTCGGATAACATGCCGTATCGCCGAATGCGTACACTATCTGGCAAAAGCAAGATAGGAGGATTCCCTGAAATTCAACAGAATAAATGATTAATACTTCTGTCATGTATTCATCACTGTAAGCCTTTCATCAGCATTTTATCATTTGATATGAGTGTACGCAATGTTCCATTGTTAAGACGAGAAGTGCCTTCTCAAGGCATCCTTCCACATGTTTTTCTCTTCCACAGAAGGCATTCAATCTGACTGATACCAGTGAAGGGAGCTGAGGAGCAGTAACTTATTAATTGCAATTAGTGCAAATCTAAATGCCAGCAAATTAAAACAAATCAAAATAAAACAAAGAAGAAAAAGCAGCAGTCTTTGAAATTTATGCTTTAAGTCAATACCAGGATTGGATTTTCATTTCCTGATACAGGCTGAAATAGGAGTAGAAAATCTGAAATGTTGAAGATCTTTATAGTTAACATAAATTCTTTCTTCCTTCGTAAATCCACGCTATGTTCTTTTTGTGAGTCAATAGGGCCTTGATCGAGACCCTTCATGCAACTCTTTGGAGGGTGAGGATGCCACAGAGATTTCTATAGAGACTTTGAATTTCCTATTACCACCCCCACTCCCACCACCACCCCACTTGTTTCCTGGGCTGTTATTGGGTTTTGGAAGCCCCAAACTAAAACTGCCCGGATGTAAAGTTCATGATCACCAGGAATTCTGCTGAGGAGTCAGGGACATTCTGGCCAATATATGTTAAGTGCTTTTAGGCAAAATTCAGTATTAGTAATATTGTAATTAACAGCTGTGATCATCATAGGGTTGCATTCAGAAAAGATAAATAAAACATTTTTTGTCAATTTAATGGTCAAATGTTGAGGTGCAATAGGATACATTTCTCATTTGAGAAAATACACTTACTCATTCAAAATTGAAAAAAAAGGACACTGTTCATGTTCGCTGGTAAAATACTCTAAATGTCCAGTGTTCCAATTTAAACTGAAAACAAAACCTTCAGCAGCTTTCACATAGCACAAAATAAACAGCCCAGCTCCTGAACTAGTTTGACTGACAGGACATCTGGCATAGAGTAAAACAACACTGGTTATTTTCAACTTCAAATAGACTCCAGTATTTAGATTTCCCAGGCCTTGTTTTGACTGCTAAGCTCAGTATGATTGTTTGTCCAAGGTTCAGAAGCTTCAGAACTATTTATCTTAGAAGAGGTAATCTTTTCACATTTTGATTGACAGTTTAAGAGATTATTAAATGATTATCTGTCTGTGTGGCAAGTATATGATTTTTTTTTTACAGGAGATTGAACTGGCTTTAGATAAATGTAAGGTGCTGCATTTTGGAAAGGCAAATCAGGGCAGCACTTACACACTTAATGGTAAGGTCCTAGGGAGTGTTGCTGAACAAAGAGATATTGGAGTGCAGATTCATAGTTCCTTGAAAGTGGAGTCGCGGGTAGATAGGATAGTGAAGAAGGCGTTTGGTATGTTTGCCTTTATTGGTCAGTGCATTGAGTGTAGGAGTTGGGAGATCATGTTGCGGCTGTACAGGACATTGGTTAGGCAACTTTTGGAATATTGTGTGCAATTCTGGTCTCCCTGTTATAAGAAGGATGTTGTGAAACTTGAAAGGTTCAGAAAAGATTTATAAGGATATTGCCAGAGTTGGATGGTTTGAGCAATAGTGAGAGGCTGAATAAGCTGGGGCTATTTTTCCTTGAGTGTTCGAGGCTCAGGGGTGACTTTACAGAGGTTTATAAAATCATGAGGGGCATGGATAGGGTGGATAGACAAGGTCTTTTCCCCAGGGTGGGGAGTTCAAAACTAGAGGGCACTGGTTTAAGGTGAGAGGGGAAAGAATTAAAAGGGACCCAAGGGCAACTTTTTCATGCAGAGGGTGGAGGCTGGTACAGTTACAACATTGAAAAGGCATCTGGATGGGTATGTGAATAGGAAAGGTTTAGAGGGATATGGGCCAAATGCTGGCAAATGGGACTAGATTTATTTAGCATATCTAGTCGGCATGGACAATTTGGACCGAGGGGTCTTTTTCTGTGCTGTACATCTCTATAACGCTATGGACAGTTACATTTCTTCTTTTGCTCATTTCAAAGGTATCTTCAGGATGGCCCATAATGGATATTGGGTGAATGTTTATGGAGGGTATACGGTTGGCACATGGAAAGTATGAAGAAGCACTGGGAACATGAGGGAATATGGGGAGTTTGAGGGCACGTAATGGAACATTATAGGATATGAGGGATCGTGAGGGGAACATGAGGGGAGCATGAGGGGACAAAGAGTAGAAAAGGTGACGTGCTTGCAAATGGGGACATGGGGTGCAAGAGGGGATATGGGGAGCATGAGGAGACTCAGGGAGCAATTTCAGTGTTGCAAGCTGGTTGACATCACGATCTGTATTATTTTCAGCAGGCATTAGCTGTACAGGAGGTGGTGGCGGCAGTGGTACTGTTCTTGATTTGGTAATCCAGAACCCGAGGCAAAAGCTCTGGGGACATGGCTTCAAAATATCACCATGACTGTTGGTGAAACTTAAATTAAATTCTAATGATGACACTGTTGATTCTCATAATATCCCATTCAATTCATTAATGCCCTTAAGAGAAGCAAATTTGCCGTCTAGATCTGGTCTTCATATGACTCTAGACCCACAGCAATGTGCTTGTCTCTTAGCTGCTCTCTGAAATTGCCTCCAAAAGACATTCAGTTCAAAGCATTAGGGGTGGACAATGGATGTTGGCCCTGCCCATATCAATACAAGAATAAATAAATAAAATAGCACCAACAAAATGGTTCCAGCATGATTCATGGCAGATGTGTATGGGTATGCAGCAGACACTATTTTAGACTCCAAATGCCCAAACAATAAGTGCTATTAAGTCCAATCCTGTGCCACAGATTTCTTGTGTGGAGTTCAACCTATCTGGTGGACAGAAAGTGGAATCGCTGCTGTTCTCAAAATTTTTTCACTAAAATGAAGCTCCTGCCTGCTTTGGAAAGAAGCCTGCAATGCCCAACGCAAATTCAAAAGGTTTGATCAAGAGACATAATTGTAGATTTCAATATAATTTTAAGCACAGTTTATTTTTGTCCAATTTATGCAAGATTACTAGATAAACTTCTCAACTCTCAGTTGTTCCACAAACCTCCTCAGACTCATCCAACCCTTCCTGTCACCTCATCAACATTTAATCACACAGAACTTGAGTATGCTGAAAAAGGACACATTTTATTGATGCATTTCGCCATGCACTCATCAGGAGAATTTGCAAGAAGTGTCAATGTAAACGAAAAACAACATGTATGCTGTATGAAAGGAGAGTGTTAATTGGTTGGCAAGTGGATTCTGATTGGTAGAGGAGTTACCATGGAGAATGCACCAGTTAGATGATGACTGACAGTTAAGCACCATGCTTTCATTCAATTTTAAACTAGGCAATTTGACTTTGGCACTACTGTGCAAAATGAACCAGAGAATGATGGTCACCTATTTTGTGGAGTTGAAACAGGTGCAGTATGTATACTAGTTCCTTCTGTCCACAAAGAACGGACCCTTGTGTGTTAATATACGTAGCTTGTAATATGCAGAAGTGAAGCATACTTACTATATATGCTGGCCAACTAACAATACAAATTTAATTCTCAATGTAAATCTTCATAGAGTCAGGATTATTTAGCAAACGTTGTCTAATTTTGGAATCACTTCTAATATTTGCCACTGCAGTTTGAGTTTGCAAGAATTGGCAAATAGTGTGTGGTCAGTACCTTACCTGTTGCAAACACTCAAAGAGATATGTTATTCGATACAATCTGCCATTCTTTGGGACACATGGCCTATGTATCCAGACACATGGCCTATGTATCCAGCATCACACAGGCACTGAAATTCATACATCATATTACACATTTATATAATTGACAGAAAGTAGTTTTGGATTGACATCAGCATCCAGTTAGTGGTAAACACCATTCATGTTGCTAATACGTAGTAGCAGGACAAAATAGCTTCACTATTGCTCAAACATTTGAGATACCTTACAATCTGAGATAACATGGACACTTTTCAAAACTAATATTAGGGCAGTAAGCCCCTCCATGAGTTAGTGTGGTACTTGGAAAAAAAACTGATCTGATCAGAGTAGCCATCATCCTGCAGGATGTCTTTGATATGTCCCATATCAGCATCAAAACTTGCATGGTGAACAAATAGGTTGAAGACATTTTACAAGGTTGTTGCTAAGGCCAAACTGATAGCATGCGGAACTGCAGGAATCCAAACATGCATATTGACATATGCTTACCAAAGTACATCTTTAACCAATAACATTAAGGATAGGGAGAGAAATAGCTGAATGAATGAGCTGGATGGTGAATTAAAGGCAGTGAATTCAGTGACAAATTAGGTACAGAAAGAAACATAAAGGGAGGGTAATTAAGAGTAGATTAAAATAATAGAAAAATGAAAAGTATTAAAATTTAAATATTTTAAAAATTCCCTGTACAACAAGAAGGAATAAGATTCCACACGTAAGATTAGTTATTTTTTGGTGCAGAAGACTTGATTGGCATGCATTAATGGGTCATCATTTCACTGTTAGGTGACTCTAATAGCTTTAAATGCCTGGTACACTGACTTTGTGTCTACATCACAAAAACAGCAAATTCATGACATTCAATGCATGTCTGTGTGAGGCAGATCAGATGAATGTTGCAATTGTTCTTTATTTGACCTTACGCTGACTGAGTACATAGAAAGAATACATAAAAAATGTACTTACCAGTTGCCAAACACTGAATGCCATGCTCCTCCACAATAGATCGAAATCCCTCAGCACAGAAACACTCATAGCTTCCTTTGCTATTTTTGCAAATGTGAGGACAGGTGCCAAAGATCTCGCACTCATTGATATCTAAATAGTGAGAAAAATGCAGTAAGAAAGTGATGCAGATATTCAATTTCAAGCAACCTGCAAAATTAAACACTAAATGATAAGGTGTACAACTTACACTTTCATTCTCAAGCCTTATTTTACAACTGGTTTGACTTGTCTCTCTTTTCCAATAAAGACAACATTCGTTCTCTAAAACAATTCTAACATCACATCCATACCTTATCAGGAGTAGCAGATTTAAAATTGTGGCCAATATTTGAAATGTGACTGTACACAGGAACTGCTTGTTAATGGATATTTCCCTTTTAATCAAGCGATATATCCTTAGGGTTCATCATAGGAGAGACTAACAACATTTCACACAGCTGTTAGGAAGGGCAATCAAAGGTTCAGTCAAAATGGTAGATTTTAAGAAGTGTCTTAATGGAAAGAGAGAGGTAAAGTGATGAAGAGATTTATGGAGGGAAATATAGAACTTAGGACTGAGAAAGTTAAAATGCACATCTTCCAAAGATGATGCAAAGAAAATGGGGAATGTTCAAGTGGTCATAACTGGGGCAGCTCAGATATTTCAGGGCATTGCTTTGCTTTCACCTTTGCTATCTTCTCCAAAAATTGAATTGGACAGCCAGGAGGTAGTTGTGGGTGGAGTTTGGCGGAGTCAGGGATCCAGAGAGGGATGGGGAAGAAATGGAAAAAAGATGGAAAGTGAATGAAAGAATATTACAAACAATTACAGGTGAGCATATCATGTTGTTTAAAACAGTCTGGGCTGCTGAAGTGGTCAAATCTCCAAACTCTTGTTAGAATGCCTGGTGAAGTAGTTTTGCTGTTGTATGATGTGGCTTGGCTGGCCAACCAAGATACCTTTCTAATGGTTACAGAGATAGTAGGAACTGCCGATGCTAGAGAATCTGAGAAATGTCAGCTTTCCTGCTCCTCTGATGCTGCTTGGCCTGCTGTGTTCATCCAGCTCTACACCTTGTTACCTTTCTAATGGGACAGCAGTTTACCAGGTCTGTGAGAAAGTGGCAGTCAAACATAGTGAAAGACTATGACAAATTTAGGAAATTTTGAGGCTAATAAGTAAGATTAACCAACAATATCATAACGCAAAATGATATCCATTGCCATGTTGCACATTTGCTACTTGATCCATACCAAGTTCTTACAACCTTAAAGATTTTAACTGGCTAATAATGTTTCAGTAGATCATACTGAAATTTCATTCTTAAGTTATCTTTTACAGGCTTTACACTTTAAGCTGCTATAATATTAGCCACGGAGATGGGTTTGGATTTCAAAGTTTCTTTTCCAACGTGTTTAAAATTGGGGGTGGGGGACATCTATAAAATGCAGCACTTGGCCTTTTCTCCATTTTCCAACCTGCCTCCCCAATCTATCCATTATTTTACAGTCGGTAGTGGAGGCATCTGGTCTTTGGCCTAGTCGGTGGCAAATTATGGCCACTTAAGTGTGTAATCTAGTCCCTGCTGCTATAACAAATGTGGCAATTTATATCAGGCAAGCTGGTATGGAGGAAAAGAGGAGAAGGAGAGGGCGTCCTTTGCTAGTCTTCTATGCCCTTTGGATGTCATGGCCCTTGGCCTCAGATCCATGCCCCTGCCCCCAGTTTCCCTCACAACCTTTTTTAGGGCACGTCATCCAACTCCCACAAACACCCTAGACTTATTGCCAATTTCTGTCAATAACCTCCTCTTCCTCAGGGACTGGCTATGATCCCAGCAATTCTCACTGCTCAGACTTGGCACCATTGGGTGTACAGAGTTGCTTTAACTGGTTTGGCCAAAAACTCCGAGACAGGTCCTCCTTCTTAGATGGGGGCTAATACCCGACCTGTGCCAAATCAAGCCTCTTAGAGGGTAAAGTGATTAAAAGGACAGCTGACTTTATTCTGTGGATTAGTTCTTAGTCAGCCGTTTAGTTGACGGGATGGGAGACAGTTTGCCCCATAAAAACTAGCCTAAGGGATTGGATTCCACGTGAATGCTGCCGACAGCCAAATCTGCTTCAGCAGCACCCTACTGCTTTTATCATCCCTTGGTTACCTAGCAGCTGGAACTGTTTGAACAGGTTTGGAAAGTGTTGTTGAAGGTACATTGGTGAGTTACCACAGGGCACTGATACATACTGTTATGTCTATGCACAGTTGATGCAAACAGCAAATGTTTAAGATGGTGGATGGGGTGCCAATCAAATGCGCTTTAACCTGGAGAGTATCAAGCTTCTTGAGTGTTGTTGGAGCTGTATTCATCCAGGTAAGTGGACAGTATTTCATCACACTTTTGACTTGTGTCTTGTACGTGGTCAACAAATTTTGTGGAGTCAGGACGTGAGTAATTTGCTGCAGAATTCCCAGCCTCAAACCTGCTTTTGTAGCAATCAGTAGTGTGAAAGTTAATTGTTGTCCAAATAACATCTCACCCTTTTGTAACCACTGTAATGTATTTGTCCCTAGTCCTTCACCATCTCAAACTCAGCATCCTAACCCTTGTGTCCAAAACTTTACATGGCATCAGCAGTCTTTTTCTGAGTAACCTTTGAAGGTTCCTGTATCCTCCAACTTCAGTCCCATGTCCATCCCCCAACTTTGCTCAACCACTGATGGCAATACCTTTTAATACCATGTCCCAATGTTCTGTACTTTCCTAAACCTCTCCATCTAACTGCCTCTTCCCCTACTCCTAAGAGACATTCCTAAAAATCAATTGATCTAACCAAGCTTTTAGCCACCCCAACCAAGACCTCGCTGTTTAGCTCAATGCCAATTTTCAAGCTAATTTCACTTTTGAGCAATTCTGTTTTTCTGCACTTACATAAATTCAAGTTGTTGTCGCTGTTTCCTTGCAGTTAGAGAAGTCAGGATTCCAGATATGTGCTCAAAAAGAGACTCAGAATGAAGCCTTCTGACATTGCCCCTGCCAGTGTACTTTTTACAATTAACAATATTTCACAAAAAAAATCTCATGACATGAAAGGAGGAACCATTTTTTTCTTTGCTTTCAAAGATCAACTTTAGTGGTAGTTCTTTTTTTTTTAAACCAGCTAGCACTCATCTTCTAGGTGACTTCGAAAAGTTACCAATACATCACATGCAGGTTAGAGATTTACCATCACAAGCGTTTGCATCATCCTCCTTTACTTGATACCCAGGCCTACAATGGCAGATGAAACCGCCATTGTTCAGATCTGTACAATTGTGCTCACAGAGGTTTTCAGAACAAGATCGTTTGGTATCATGATCTAGGGAAAGAGAAAGGTATTTTAATAGTGAGAGAATTTAGATATCTCTTGTTATAACTTACTCCAAAACATCAACCTGTGACAAAAGATGTATTAAATTTATTAGAAAGAACATGCAAGAAGATTTGGTGTTATTATTAAAATTCTGGATCTTTCAGTATTCCTAGCAATTTTGCACTGAGTCTCACCTGTTATACTCAGAGCTCAATGGGAGAGTTTCATTCTACCCAACACCCTTCACTGAGAACATTGTGCTAATTCCTATTTGCATGAAAGAGGAATTAAAGTACAAATAGGTCTACCAGGTTCTGTAGTGCTATAATAAGCTGTCATTGTAACCAAGGCTGCAGTTATACCACAAAAAACGTGGCTGAAACTATAGTGGAGTTGCATTTTAGCACTGAGCACAGTTACGGAAAGTCTTGTGACTGTGTACTAATATGCACATTCTTATCTTTGTTGTGTAGCCATTTTCGAGGCGGAAACATACATACTCAGAATACTCATCAGATTCTAGTTAAGTTTATAAATAGGTCTAGACTTTAAGAAATTGGCTGGCTACCACAAGTGTAAAGTTACTCAAGTGGCTTTGCACAGGGTGAAGTAAAAGTTGTGGCGTACAATTAATTAGTTGGATTTTGCTTCTCGAGTGCACCAGGAAGTCAGATAACTTCTCATTCTTAGGTTATACTCTGATGTAAATTGATAGGCAAAATTACACTCAATCAACACAAAAGTGAATGATAAAGAACTGAAAATACTCCTAGAATATTGTACATAAATTTATCATCTCACGATAAAATCAACATTTTGACTGGTTTAGAGCTTGTTGTGTAAAGATCATCTAAGTGTTGAGAAAAATACAAAGCTGAAGCCACTGTGAATCAACTCCACTGGTCTAAATAGCTAAGTGCTTTAAATCTAAAGTTTCCCACATTCCAGAAATTTAAAGCCCAAAGTTGTTTTTGAAGCAGCATTCCTGCAAGTTACATATTATCACCACTGATTCTGTTTTGTTTTTACTAATGGTCTCAACTGTATAGTTCAGAAACACTTTCATGGGGTCAATTAAGAGCCAAAAATAAACATTTTAAAAAATGATCAGTTAATGCATCTTTGACACGTAGGACTTCCCGTTTGTTTTAGAGTTTGTGGGTGTTGGTTGACTCATACTGTGCCACATATTGCACTGTTGTACGGTATTCTACATATGCATATTACAAATTTTCCTTCACATTGCTACCAAATTTATACTGCTGTATACTCTGAAGTCCAATGTCAAATTTATCATTGCTACGCTTTATATCTGACAGTTTCAATAGATTTCAAAATCAGAAACACTACAAAACTTCAAATTGAACTTGAATTGTTAATTAGAATTATCTGACATAGTAAGGTACTGGGCTAGAATTTCTGGGGTTCGTGTTCCCTTGCGGTTTATCACTCCGACCTTTCTTTATTTTATGAAAGGAGGGAGCTCTCAATTTCTGAGAGGAGATTCTGTTAAGGGCTTCTTCAGAAATTGGAGCTGTACTTCCAATCTGACAGTTCTTTCGCAGAGCAGAGCTGTAAGTGAAAGGAAACCCACACCCCATTTCACCACAATTAGCTGATGCATTGTAAAATCTAAAGGCTCACACACCATTGACAGCTGCTGTCAAAATGTAAGTACATAAGGCAAGGGGGATGTTAGGGTGGGGGAGGGGTAAAATGTAGGGAGATAGGTTTCCAGGTAAGTAGGGTAACATTTGGGAAGGGGCTGGGTGCACTTGGATAGGATATTAAGGAGAAGGCGTAGGCTGCCAAATCAGTAGGGTGGCAGATTGCAAGGTGATAAGGTAAGTGGTGCAGTGTTTAAGATAGGCCAGGATGGATGTGGAAAATGTGTCTGGCAGAGGCAAGGATGTTTTGGTGGGTAGGGATGGATTAATGTTGGGTTAGTGGGTGAGAGGTTGAAGAGGTGATGGTGTCAGGTCAGGGTCTGATTTAAATGGACTTTCTTGGCAGGTCTGAGCTGTAGAGGAATTGCCCAATAGAAAAAAATCAATTCCAGGGGCTAGGCCCGAAACGTCAGCCTTCCTGCTCCTCTGATGCTGCTTGGCCTGCTGTGTTCATCCAGCTCTACACCTTGTTAATTCCAGGGGAAATTCCTTCAGAGACTGCTGTGATGAAAATTCTGCGGACTCTATTCTGGAATAATGACTATCTAGCCAACAGAAAATCTGGGGCATTAATGCAATCTACTGACATTTCCTAATTAGAAAGTCAGTTGATTGATTCAGTTACTACTTATATCTAAAGCTCTGCCATTCGTTATTGTATTTTTCATCTACAAGTTAATATTCTGTGCAGCTTAGTTAAACTTTATGGTCATTAGCATCATATAAGCATTTGCTATATATTCTAGTATCATCATCTTCTTCCTTTTTTATGCTGTGCATTACACCCTATATATGAGCATCCAAGTATATATCTGCATACTTACTGCACCCCAACTCATCAGATTGATCAGCACAGTGAGCATAATTATCACAAACATGTCGGACAGGAATGCAGTTTCCATTCCCACATTTGTATTCCTCAGGTGTGCAAGGATGAGGTGTAGATGGTTTACCTAATTGTGAAATAAAATTTCCATTAAATGCCGTTGTTCTGTGTGTGCATAGATAAAATTATTGCTTTTTATCAGCCAAAACAAAGGTGAATAACTGTGAACACAAACTTACAGTTTTCTTCTTTTTCATCACTTCCATCTCCACAATCATTTACATCGTTGCATAATTCATGTACGTACACACAGCGATTATTGTCACAGCGAAAACGGAAAGGGGAATCACATGGAATGTCCACTAGAAAAGAACAATTGTTTGAAAGCTTTGATATTTGTTGAAAATAACTAAGTACTAGTATTCCTGGGACTTGATAACCTTAGTGAGTCTGGTGAGCCTGTGGAATTCACCACCATTGAAAGCAGTCGAGGTCAAAATATTGTATGATTTCAAGAAAGAGTTGGATATGGCACTTGGGGCTAATGAGATCAAAGAATATGGGAGAAAAGTAGGAACAGGCTACATAATCACACTGAATGGTTGAGCAAGCTTGAAGGGGCTATGTTTCTATGTTTGAAATCTCACGTATTTATTAATACTGTGAGTTTCATATTATTCTACATTTTACACTTCTATGATCCCATACTTATAGATTGCTGACAAAAAAAAATAAGTATGTGGCATTGGTCTTTCAAAGGACCAGCACAGGCATGAAGGAGGGAATGGTGTCCTTCTGAGCTGTAATTTATATGATTCTATGATTCTACATAAAATTTATGTCTATAAAAGGGTAAATAGCAAAACACTGGCTTTCTAATGAAGTTGAGAAGATAAACTGCTGGAGAATATAGATCAATGGTTCTTGCTACTCATTTGTGTGGAGGATAACTCTTTTTCACAATGTAACTCCATGAAGCACTCAGCCAAACACAAAGAAGAATGCAGTACAAGGAAGTTAGTTTACGCAGAAGTAAATTTAAATCTTTCTTTTCTGACATACCTCAATTCATTAAATCCTTGTCACTGATACCCTGTCCCATCCTGGTTGTTAGTCCGGCAAAACCCAGAACTTTGCTCTTCAGTTCAAGGGCATGGATTTGAATATCTATAGGAAATACCTAATTTAGCTAATAGCATTGGTGAGATAACATGCAGAATTTGGACTCTGCTTTCCTTTGCTGAAATTCCACAGTACATAATTATTTTGAATTGCAAAGATAACCCCTGGCTTGCTAAGTGATGACCAACCATTTACTACAGTGCCTGTCCTAGAAATGCACTATGCTACAATGGTGAGGAACATTCAAATTCTCATACTACCTCACATGTAATCTCATGAGTGAGACTGGTAATTTGTTCTCAGTTAAGAGTTTTTTGCTGTGAGTTCATTGCTCACAGATTCTGAGTGAGGTTATTTCACAGAGGGCCTCACAGGTAGTGACAGAGATTTTGGTCCCATTTAATTGAAATGCTGTCAACTGCCTACTACTATTTATAATTTAGGTATGTCAAGGGAAAACAAAGGAACTGCAGTGCTTTTAAATGTTTGATTTACCAAAAGATGTTATCACTTTCAATGAAAGATAATTTTGTTTATTTAAGTTTTACAAAGCTCACTGAAATGGCTTACAGCAATGGTGGAGCTCTTCATCAGATCCATCTCCACAATCGTTGTCTCCATCGCACTTCCAGTATTGTTGCACACAGACATGATTCCTGCACTCAAACAGGAACGGTGGGCAGTAGGTTCCATTGGGATAACGAGTTGCTGTGAAGGTTAAGGACATAAATGAACAATTTGGAAGATATATTTCTATTAAATGTTGAAACATACAACCATGTTAGAGAATTTCTTCTAATACGCAAGTAACTGGACTGTAGCTGTCAGACTTCGAGGTAAAGAGAAAACCAAAAGAACTGCGGATGCTGTAAATCAGGAACTAAAACAAAGTTGCTGGAAAAGCTCAGCAGGTCTGGCAGCATCTGTGGAGGAGAAAACAGAGTTAACGTTTCGGGTCCGGTGACCCTTCCTCAGAACTGATGGTGGCTGGGAAAACGTCAGTTTATATGCAAAAAATAGGGAGGTGGGTGGGGTAGGGAGTAAACGATAGGATAGAGCCCAAAGAGAGAGAAAGACAGTTGGACAGACAAAGGAGTTGCTAACGATCAGGCTGGGAGGGTGAATAGTTGTTAATGGGGACTGTTAGTGACTAACAACAGGGGGTGTGTAGTGGCAGGCTATGTGGTAACAAGGCTCTATCCTATCGTTTACTCCCTACCCCACCCACCTCCCTACTTTCTGCATATAAACTGACGTTTTCCCAGCCACCATCAGTTCTGAGGAAGGGTCACCGGACCCGAAACATTAACTCTGTTTTCTCCTCCACAGATGCTGCCAGACCTGCTGAGCTTTCCCAGCAACTTTGTTTTTGTTCGAGGTAAAGAGAACTTTTTATTTGTGATATCATGGAGAGTCAATGCTAACAAAGGTTAGACACTGAAGACGAAGGTTACATACTGAAGACTCTCCGTGATATCACGAATAAAAAGTTCTCTTTACCTTGACGTCTGACAGCTGCAGTCTGGTCGTCCGCGTATTAGAAGAAATTCTCTAACAAACCATATACCAAGAATGCCATTCATCACAGAGGCAGCTTTTTGATGACAGTGGAACACAAAATGGTTGTATTTTTAGTCACTAATAATACTCTACATACATGATTTCACTTTTGCTTTATTTTTCTACCCGTTTTCTGTCCTTTTCACTTTCAAAGTGATTGGGAAGTAATTGATGCTGGTCACAAGCATTAAGCAGTCTTAGCCATGCTACCCTTTTGATGTGTTAGCATGGATCAAACTATTTGATTGGGAAGATGATCATTGTCCACATACATTTCTAGTAGACATAACTGGATTACAGTCAGTGGTCAACTTTCCTCCAACTAACTGTGGCAGAATGCAAACCTGGGATTGTACTGGCCTATCTATATCAGGAACTCATTTAATGTTGAATCTTTGGGAAATCCAAGATTTTTAGACAGTCTTGGCCAAGGTGTGGATCTCTAATTCATCTCCATCACAATTCTCGGAAATACCATTTAAAACTTGCTGATAACACCAAATTGGGAGGTATATTAAATACAGTGGAGAACTGCTGAAAATTACAGGATGACATTAATAAATTTGTAGAACATACATTGGAGATAAAGGTCAATATGCAACATATTAACGTGAGAGGTACATTTTTGGTAGGAATAATAAGGAAGTTACATACTCCTTGGGCTAGTGAAATCTTGGGTACGGATATATAAATTACTGAAAGTAGCAATGAAGGTTAATAAGGCCATAATGATAGCAAAGCACTTGGCATTTATGTCTAGAGGGACAGAATGGAAAAGAAGAAAAGTTATCTTAAACTTCTAGAGCATTGGTTAAACTGCATTTGGCATACTGTGGACTGTTCTGATTTCCATATAATAAATAAGACATAATCAGTACTGGACAAGGCCATACACAGATTTACCAACGTGACATGAAAACTGAGAAATTCCAAACATCAAAACAGACCTATGCGTGCTGGGGCTATTTTCTATTTAAAAGTGAAAACAGAGGTGTGACCTGAGGGAGGTTTTTAAGAGAATGAAAGTTGATGGATAGAATTATTGGGAAATAGGTTACAGGCCTCCAATTTCTTACACTCCATAACTTACACTGACCTTCCTATTTCTGCCTTCCTGCACTGTTTCAAGTAATCTCACAGAAAACCACAGTAACTCGAGCACATCTTGCTGGACTTTCATCAGCCCTCTAGTCTGAAAGTTGGCTTCAACAATTGCAAACCTTCATTGTATCCTCTGCTCTCCTGAGTCTTCATTCCACACTTTGTCTTTCAGTTTCAATTCACAATTAATTAACATTTGGGTTACTATTTCTGCAAGTGCAATATTTAGCAGTCATAAAAATGTATTAAATAGAATAATGCCTGCATTGAAACAGCGAACAAGGGAATTTTAATCAAATGTATTAATGAGAGAGAGTTAATCCTCCCTTAGTCTTTATAGATCCTTTCTGATCTAATGGTCTTTGTACAATACATTGTTATAAACATATGTCTTTCCCTTATTTAAAATTGTGAAAAAAAATCATTAAACTAATTTATTGCCTTTTCTTAAACTACATCAATGCTTCTGGTTTCCAAAAGTTCTCTTCTAGCCTCTATCTTTGTTGGCAGTGTAAGAGACTGACTAACAAAAATTCGGATCAAGACTCTCAACTCCTTCCATTGTTAATAAACCAGCTCTATATTTCCAGCTCATTTGCTTTTATTTCATTGTTCAGTGCTGTTTTTTGTAATATCTAGCTTTTCACAGAAGTGTATACTTAAAAAGACTTACGACAGGTACTTTCATCAGAATAATCTGCACAGTCAGCATTCCCGTCACACCTGAACCTTTCAATGATGCAGTGACCACTAGAACACTCAAAGTAACCGGGCAGGCATGTTAGCAGTTCTATAAAATAAACACATAGGTATGCATAACATCAATATCAAGCCAGACCACTGGATGACAAGCACTATTGAATATCCCAATTCATTGGTAAACCAGAGGCTCACTCTTTCTATCTGGGAGGAACAATCAGATGCAATCTTTTTTAAGAAAGCTTCTTTTAAAAAAAAAGTCTGAGATGGTCTTGATAGCTCATGTGACTGGCATCTCCAATCTCAGTTAATTATTTTGTTGTTACGACAGCAGTGTCTGGTTGTGGGGTTCAATGGCTCGTGAGATATAACCTCAGCTCCTATTCCTTTCCACTTGCCTTAACCAAATAACTGTTTGTCATGTAAAAACACTTGGAATTATTATCACAAACTTTCTTAATCATTGTTCTATTCCATCGAGACCTGCAACATCCCATAGCTCCCATCAAACTTGCAGATCAATCCTCAATGTATTAAAACTAATTAAGTCTTGAGAATACAATTAATTTGTTTATCCAATTAACAACTAGCCATTAACTTCATGAGGCACAATATAGTTGAGCAACCTTTCATATGGGATCTTATTAAGGCCTTTTTTAAAATCTAGAAGCACTCACCAAGCAATGGTGAGGTCCGAAAGTTACAACTTACCTCACTTAAAAGTCTGATTACAACTAGAATGAGGTTCCTACTGTATTTCCTCTCACATATTGATGGGGGTGGGGGTGGGGGTTGGGTGGGAAAGGCATTAGGCACAAACAATATCCCGCCAATTGAATCTGATTTACTGGTGCAAGAACTGATTCAGTGATGGAAGCTGTTGTGAGAGAAAAACTTTGGAATTGTGTTCCCAGAGGGTACCCTTCTTCCTCACTGTTCTGATAGGTTCCTTCACTTTAGTTGAAACAGTGAATGAAAATAATAGCAAATAATAACCTATTTAATGGCCATTTATTGCAAATTCAGGAATGGCAATGGCACAGACTAGGTCAATTTTTGCTGTTGTAAGGCCTTCTCTGAAAATCCTCCACCTGATGTGTTTACACACATTTTAATTATTGAAATGTCATCTTAACTACCTCCACTGCAGGTGTTCATTGTTAGTTTACCTCTTAACTTTCCTCTGTGACATTAACAATCTCAGGTGCACTTGTTCTATTAAATAATCTTTCGATTCTTGCAATGATACAAGAGCACATATTTCACTTTTCTACATTCACTTGCTCTGATCATACCACAGTCTCGTTCATCCGAGTTATCTTCACAGTCATTTTCATGATCACACACCCAACGACCAGGAACACACCGGAGATTGTCACAGCGGAATTCACTTTCTGTACATTCACGAGGGTCTGAAATAAATTATAGCTGCATCAATTGGAAGTGTGAAGTCACAAATTAACCTGAAAATTCTGCCAACAATCTTCTGTCATCTAGACTATGTTCTAATTGGTCCATCAAAACATATTACTGTAGAATTTAGAAAATTCAAATAGATCCTCATGATAACAGAGCTCTTCATTGTCTGAAACAGAAACAGAAATTGGTGGAAAAACTCAGCAGGTCTGGCGGCATCTGTGGATAGAAAGCAGAGTTAATGTTTTGGGTCTAGCGACCCTACTTCAGAACTTGAAATGTTAACTCTGCTTTCTCTTCACAGATGCTGCCGGACCTGCTGTGCTTCTCCAGCAACTTCGATTTTTGCTTCAGATCTTCAGCATCCACAGTTCTTTGTTTCATTATCCATCTTCTGTTTCCATCCAAAGCTCTCATCAAGTTTGGAATAGGGGACCAGTGAGATAGCTGAACTTGCTTAATTTACAGCATTAAGGCATAAAATGATTTTTAATGTAGACAACAAATTATCAGTAGCATCAAAATATTTACAAAGCACTCTATGTGGATTAAATGATACACTAATTATTGACACTTCTCGATATTGGGAAACTCTAAATTCCCGCCTGCTTGATGAACTTTCACTAATCTGGGCTGGAATCAATCATGTTCTTCCCATTGCTCTGTGAGGACTTAGTATTGAAACTTAGCACATTGGTACATGGCTGGTTGCTATGCTATAATCACAAACTTACATCAGGAAAGTTGGCTGGAGATAGCAAAAACTGCAGATGCTGGACTCAGAGTCAATACAATGTGGAGCTGGAGGAATACAGCAGGTTAGGCAGCATCAGAGGAGCAGGAGAGTCAATGTTTCGGGTCGGGACCTTTCATCACAACATCATCGACTCTCCTGCTCCCCTGATGCTGTATGACCTATTGCATTCCTCCAGCACCACACTGTATTGACTCAGGAAAGTTGGCTATATTGGTCACAGGTACAGCACATACCACAGAATCAAAGTATTTACAGCAAAGCTGCTGATTATGTCAAAGTATCTGAGACTGGGAAAAAAACAGGCCAACAGAAGGTTACAGGTAATGGAATTATTGAATAAAATCAATTTACATCCTATGTAGAGAATATTACACTAGTTTTCTTAGCATGGCTAGTGGTATGAAATTCCTACTAAAAAGAAAAATAAAGATCTTTAAAATTATGGAAGCTCAGAAGGAGGGCCACTGGACCCGAAATGTTAACTCTGCTTTATCTCCACAGATGCTGCCAGGCCTGTTGGGTTTCTCCAGCAATTTCTGTCTATGTGTCTGTAAAATGATGATTATTTTGGTAAACCAAACAGAACATTTACACTGGGGGGGGATGGGGAAAACTGGAAGTCACTGGTTGGATCAAATGCCCTGCTCCTCTATATTCCATGTAATCTATTTGTCTGATGTTAACACATACTGCAATCACGCTCATCAGAATCATCGCCACAATCATTTTCTCCATCACACTTCCAGCGAAGTGGAATACACAAATGACTGTCACATCGGAAATCGCCCACCAGATTGCAAGTAACATCCTCTGTGAAAATATAGAAAACCTCACATTACCCTTGAGATGTTATATACAGATACACACATATTACAAGCGTTCATATATAAAACACATGTACAAAACATGCATAATATGATAGGCTTTTCACTTTGTGTACAATCAACAATCCGGCCTACATTGCTTGAATTTTGCTTGAAATTGAAAGCAAAAACCAAACTTGATGAGTATATCTGTTTTTATTGCCACTAAGTTGTGCTGGCTTTATTCAGTGCAATGCATCCAAGATTACGCAATACGATACAGCACGGAAACAAGCCCCTTGGCGCACCAAGTCTGCACTGATTCCTAATCTTATTTTAGACCCTTTACTTATTGTTCACACAGTTTTGATCCTTCTGTTCGCCTCACATTATGTGTCTATCCAGATAAGCCTTGAACATTGCTAACATACCTGTTTCCCCCATCTCCACTGGCAATGTTTTCCAAGCACCCGCGACCGTCTGTGTGAAGAATTTTCCCTGCACTTCTCCCCTAAACTTTCCCCCTCTCACCTTGAACCTGTGCCCTCTTGTAGTTGACCCTTCCACCTTGGGAAAAGCCTCTGACTATCCACCCCATCTATGCCTCTCATGATTATGTAGACCTCGATCAGGTCGCCCCTCAGCTTCCATCTTTCCAGTGAAAACAATCTAAGTTTATTTAAGTTCCTACTATCTCTAAGTTTATCCAATCTCTCCTCATAACTAAAACGCTCCAGATCAGGCAACATCCTGGTAAACATTCTTTGCACCATCTCCAAAGCATTAACATCTTTTCGGTAGTGTGGCGACCAGAATTGCACAAAATATTCCAAATGCAGCCCAACCAAAGTTTGGTACAGCTGTAACATAACTTGCTAACTTTTATATTCGATTGCCTGGCTGTTGAAGGCAAGTATGCTGTATGCCTTCTTGACTACCTTATTCATGTGAGCTGTCACGTTCAGGCATCTGTGGACCTGTACGCCCAGATCCCCCTGAAGGTCAATAGTCCTAGGGGTTCTGCCATTTATTGTATAATTCACACCTGAATTTGATCTTCCAAAATGACTGACCTCGCATTTGTCTGGATTAATCTCCATCTGCCATTTCTCTGTCCAAATCTGCAATCTATCTACATCCCGTTATATCCTTCGACAATCCTCCTCACTACTTGCAAATCTGCCAGTTTTGGTGTCATCCACAAACTTATTATTCAGACCACCTACATTTTCCACCAGATCATTTATATATATTGCAAACAACAAAAGTCACAGCACTGATCCCTACAGAACACTAACAGTTACTGGTCTCCATTCCAAAAAGCAGCATTCCACTGCTACTCTCTGTCTTTAATGACCAAGCCTGTTTTGTATCCATCTAGCCAGCTCATCCCAGATCCCATGAGACTTTACCTTCTGTATTAGCCTGCCATGAAGTAACTGATCAGATGTCTTACTCAAATCCATGTGGATAACATCCACTGCCCTTCCATCATCAATCATTCTCGTCACCTCCTCAAAAAACTTACCTAAATTGGTGCTACATGACCTTCCCTGCACAAATCAATGCTGTCTGTCACTAACAAATCCATTCCCTTCCAAATGTGAATGAATCTTGTCTCTCAGTATCTTTCTCCAACAGCTTCCCCACCACTGATGTCAAGCTCACTGGCCTGTAATTACCTGTTTCCCTTCTTAAACAAAACAATACAAAAAATTGAGGAATTTCAAGCACAAATAATATCCAGTGCAAACTGAGTTTTTGCTGTCCATTGCACTGGATTAAGTACATTGAGCTTGTAACCTGGTCCCAGCCACAAAATCAGTCATGCCTGCACATCATATTAATCAGAGAGTATAGTACAAACAGTTGTTGGTAGAACAGAACTTGAATACTGATGAAAGAGAGACAGAAATGTAGCTAAAAGCTTTTCATCTTGCACACAACAGAACAAATGCAAGAATGCCAAATTTAATTATTACAATTTACACTATAGAATAAATGATAAAAATTTCAATGTAGGCTGCAATAGTCAAATATAATTACTTTATGTCAAAAAAACCTGGTGGTTATCAGCATTTGTTGCTATTATTTGCAGAACTTGGTACCAAAACTAACTTGCAACATGCCTGCAATTTTGCCTATAGGACTTGTGGGACTGCAATAAATTACAACATTTTTTGCTTAACATAGCAATTGATGACCAGATTTTAATTTCATCCAAAAAATTAGGAATCCTACTAAAAATTACACAATTTTATATGATGTTACAGTTCCCTCTTGTGGTGAAACGGAATATTCCAAACGTGTTAAATTTGATCGGTTCCTTTACATCACTGCAGACTCCAGACCCTGACATATTTATAAATAAAAGTTTAAGGTGTAACAGATTTATCCTGGTACTTTATTACAGAAAATTGTTTGTCATGGTTGTATGCAGCAATATTAATTCTTTGCACTGCAGGCAAAAGGCAAACAAACAATCTAGTGAAACATTAAGGGGCAAAATGTAAGGACTAAACAGGCCCAAATTAATCATTTGTGATCACGTGTCCATGTTCTACAACCAAATCACTCACAGAAACACAAAGTGAAGCTCATAACCTCTATGCTATGCTTCAGATGAAGGAAAAGAAATGAGAATTATATACGTTGATATTGACATTCCATCTCAGGGCAGGGAGAGAAACAAGATTTGAAACAGACTCCACTTTAAAAGTTACATTGTAACATACATAGCAGTTGTTAATATCAGTACAAACAGTTTCAAAACTACAGGTAAGTTAAAATCACCACAATGAAAGCATAAAATAATCGCATTAAATCTCTAAGTATTTCACAGGAAATCTGATATTCTGAAATGAAAATCTAATGTTTCAAGTATTAAAAAGAATACTTAATCAATGGAAGGAAATTAACTGGTTTGAAATATACAAATAACAACAGTAGGGAGTATGAAGAAAAGTTAACTTTCTCTGAAGGGAATGGGCATTCTGTTCCTGGATGATGACAATGTTCTACTTTCACTTTAATAAAACTCTGTTGAGAATGACATCTCTTGTTTTCTTTCTTTACTACCTCAGGAAGACTGTAAACCTCATGCTGAGGGTCAGGAACTCAAAGGCCCAAATTACATCCCATTATTCTTACCACTTAGGTTTACTAAACTAATACCTGGAATGGGCAAAAGGCTAGGCCTGGATCTTAGGGAGCTTAGAAGGATCAGACGTGACTGACTTGAAACATACAGGATTGTATGGTGTATTGACCGGGTGGATGTTGGAAAGGTTGTTTTCTCTTATGGGAGAAGCGAGAACTAGAGGTCACAGTTTAAACATGACAAATTAAGACAGATAAAAAGAAACATTTTTTCTCTCAGCGGGTTGAGAATGTTTAAAAATCCCTTTCTTAAAAACAGTGGCTGCAGAATCTTTAAATACTTTTAAGGCCGGGATTGATAGATTGTTGATTATCATGAGGATGAATGATTATCAGGGATATGCAGGAATGTAGAATTTAAAATCCAATCAGCCATGATCTTACTGAATGGTGGTGCAGGCTCGAAGGGCAAAGAGACCTAATCTTGTTCCTTGTTCACACATTCATATGCTGCTGTAAACTGACATTCCAATGTGCAGTGACACTTTCTTACCACATATTTTTATAAGAAGAAAACCTTTTCCAGATCCCTTAGGAGAAAATCAGAATTACACATTCCGTGGCCTGGATTTTGTTACTGAAGAAAGAAAGGTACTCACCCTTCAGCTACCTGACAACTGTTCACTGACTTCTGTCTGTCTGTCAATGGAAATTCCTGGATGGCACCCTCTATGGGATCTCAGCAGTGTTTAGGAGGAAGTAAAGAAACAGACGGCTCTTTAATCAATCAGAGTGAACAATCCTCGCTTTGACAAGCAAGGAAGAATGTGGGTGGGGTGGGGGGCTGGAAGAGCATAGCCTGGAATTGGGCCATGGATGGGGAGTGAGTGGTGGTTATAGTCTGGCATGGGGGCATGAAGGACCATGGAGCTTGGGTGGAAGGGCAAATGTGACTTAGGCATGGGAGAGTGTGGAGCCTGAAGGGTGAGGACAAAGTCTCACAGCAACAATACAGGATTTTTTTAAACAGACCATCTCAGAAAGCAACAGGTCCTGTGGCTGTCTCCAATCTCCTTCTTGAAATGGCAGGTCGGACTGTAGTCCTGATTCCTGTAGTGAAAAGTTCTCTCTTTCATGATCATCTTTAACTCTATTTACCAGCACTCCAAAAGTAAATAACTGAAGGATTTAAATGAGATACTTTGCAAATGTACCCCATTTTTCCTGACATACCACAATTTTGCTCATCACTGTTGTCCCGGCAGTCATCTTTGCCATTGCATACAGCCCACTTTGGAATACAGCGATAATTTGTTTGACAGGCAAACTCAGTGTGGTTATCGCAGGAGTAGTTAACCCCATCTGAAATAAGAAAGTATTAATATGAGAAAAGACATAATATTGTAGTTCACTGATCATACACTGCGATTTGGTGACTGCTTATGGTTATAATTTTGCTGCTCTATTTCTTCTTTTGGGAGCGCTTTTATGATCAGTTTTGGGTTCCACCTACCTTGATGTACGCAAGTTCTTAATTTCAATTTACAACTTTTCAACTTACTGGTATCTGCACTATATCCATACCAACTGGTCCCAGACTTCAAGCAGTCTAACCAGCAGTTCTCAAAGGGAGTGTTTCACATCTCCACAAGGCTTGCTAACTTAGTGTTCTTATTTAAAAAAAAACATGTGAGACAAAGAGGAACTATCGTATCAGTCCATCTGCTTGCAATCACCTCTCTTTCTACTCTAACTCCTTTCACTGTCCCAGACAGAACTGCTTATTAAGTTTGTCAAGGAGATGCTGTATTTCCAACGTACCACAATCAAATGTATATGAAACCTAGCCTTAAGATACACATCAAGTGGGCAGTGCTACTAGCCTGCCCATTGTTAAAACCAGCCATATGCGGTTATTTTAGAACACAAACTCTCACATTTTGCTGTAATGAACGTCAACATAAACTACTCATTGGGTAAGATGCACAGGCTAAATTTTTGTTATTCCTGCAGTAGGTGTGGACGTTTATTGTCCATCCCTAATTGCCTTTAAGAAAGCGGTGGTGAACTGTCTTTCTGAACCACTGCAGTGCATTTAGTGCACGGAGACCCACAATGCTGTTAGAAAGAGACTTCGAGGCTGTTGAGCTGGTGACAGTGAAGGAACAGCAATATGTTTCCAAGCCAGACACACATTTTAAGTTTCTGATATAATGGATGTACACATGTTGACAGATATATTGGGCTGTGTTTTTGGGCCCCAGTGAGGACAGAATTGGGTCCCAAGGAACCAGTGTCACCCACATGCCAATTTCTGACACAATTGCCATTGCCAGTCATTCTACAGGTAGGCTTGAGGTGAGCAACGCTACCTGGCCCATGAGGCAGTTAGTTGTTTAGGCTGATGAAGGGCCTTGTTAATTGAAATTAAAGGTGGCTGACACCATCGTGTTTCCCAGAATGACAGGGAGAAGCTGTTCAACTATCTGGAGACAGCTACCAGACACTCAGCACCCAGTAGCAAACTGCAGGAGATAGCAGTCATACAGCCTAACTCGCCTGCCTGATAACGGGTGCAGCACCATCACCACCTACCCAACACCATCCCCAACACCCACCACCACCAGCACCAGCACCAGCACACCATGTACCTGTCCTGCAACATTGACTGCCTAGCTGCTGCAACTGTTTTGTAAATTTGGGATTGAAGAAAGGTTGGTAACAGTGCACCTCTACATTGTAGTACCCTCTCTATTAGTGATCACCCATTACAGGCTGCAATTCCGCTAAAACTTTTAATTCCCCTTCCAACTTTGAGAGCTTGTGTGCCACGTTTAATTGAACAGATAGCCTATTTTCATGCCAGTTAGAGGTCTGTCTTCATGAAAATCTCAATAAATGGCTTTTCCTCCTGCTTGGAGTGGATTCAGCACCTGTACCCTACCCCCGGGAGAAAAATCCAGTAATCTTTACAATATAACATTGTTGCTAGCAGTTATACTACTTTCAATAAACTGCAAACATCCCTAATCATTTCAGGAACATTTTCTTTCAAATGTACTCACGGCATTCGTCAAAGGGCTCATCAGAGTAATCTCCACAGTCATTATCTACATCACATTTCCAGGATTGTGGAATGCAGTGGCCATTGTTACATTTAAACTGGCCTGGATGACAAGTTCGGGAAGCACAGTGAGCATGATCCTCATCGGAATTATCTATGCAGTCATTGTCCCCATCACATTGCCAGGCTTCAGGAATACAGCGTTTATTGGCACACTGCCACTGGTAGTTCTCACACTGGTGATTGACTAGAAAAAAAATAATTACAGATTGGATTCACTGATACAGTCTATCTTCAACTCATTAACATTCTGATGCCAGTGGGATAACCCAGCTCAATTGGTTGAATGGCTGGTTTGTAATACAGTGTCACACCAATAGTACGGATTCAATTCTCATACCAGCTGAGGTCACCATGAATGTCTCACCTTCTCAACCTTTCCCCTTGCCCAAGCCATGGTGACTCTCAGGTTAAACTCATCACCAATCATCTCTCTCCAATAAATGAGCAATCCTATGGTCTTCTGTGACTATGGCAACTTTACTACAGCAGGAATTGGAAAACGGGGGCTGGAGTAGATGGTGGTCCCACCAACACTCCAAAACATTAAGTTCTGAAGATTTTAACTCCACAGTCTTGCTTCCATGTCTAGATTCGGACCAGAAGGTGAGTGTCAGAACTGGAAGGTGGCCAAGGTCTTACTGGAGTCCCTAGAAACCTAGAAAGCCCATAGAAATCACACTGACATTTTGGTATTATTCCCTATAAAAACAGATCATAAGATTTTCTCTAAATATTTTTTTTAAAAAGGCATTGTGTTAAAGTGAATATTGATCGTATAGAACGTGGGTCTCGGAATTAACAATATAAAATAATAGGAGATAGCAGAGACATCAGATTTCCATGTGGTATTTGTTAAGATATGACATTAAAGATTATTGCAGAAATTAAAACGTGCGGTGGGTAGCATATTGGCATGGAGAGATGTTTAGCTAGTTAACAGTAAACAGTGTGTAGGTGTAAATGGGTCATTTTCTGGTTGGCAAGATGCAACTATTGGTGTGCCACAGGGATCAGTGTTTGAGTCTCAACGTTTTGGAATTTAAATAGATGACTTGAATAGTTGCTAAATTTTCAGATGACACAAGGATATGTAGAGAAATAAAAGATAGTAAGAACTGTTGATGCTGGAGTCAGAGATAACACAGTGTGGAGCTGGAGGTACACAGCAGGCCAGGCAGCATCAGAGGAGCAGGAAAGCTGACGTTTCGAGTCGGAACCCTTCTTCAGAAAATTTTCCTGCTCCTCTGATGCTACCTGGCCTGCTGTGTACCTCCAGCCCCATACTGTGTTATGTAGGAAAATAAGTTGTGATGTGTTCATAAAGAAGCTATAGGGATATAGATTGGTTATGTGAGTGGGAAAAGATCAGGCAAGTGGACTATTATATGGGAAAATGTGAAATTGTCAATTACAGCAGGGAGAATAAAAATGAAACGTATTATCTGAATTGTGAGATACTGCAGAGTTTGGAGATGCAAAGACATCTGGGTGATTTGTTGCATTAATTGTAAAAGATTAATTTTCAGGTGCAGCAAGTACTTAGGAAGACTCAGCAATAACATGTTATTATTTGTTGTGAGAAAATTGATGACAAAAGTAAAAGATTGTGCTTCAGTTATACAGGATACCAGTCAGACCACCACATAGTGCTCTGCGTAGTTTTGGTCTCCTTATTTAAGGAAGGGCATAACTGTTTTGGAAACAGTTCAGAGAAAGTTTACCAGACTCATACCTGGAATGTGTGGATTGTTTTATGTGGAAAGGTTGGACAGGTTAGGTTTGTATCCACTGGAGTTTAGAACAGTAAAAGGTGACTTAACTGAAATGTAAACGATCCTGAACAAGCTCAGCAGGTCTGACAGCATCTGTGAAGAGAAATATATTGGGTCTGGTGGCCCTTCCTCAGAAGGGTCTGAGGAATGGTTACCGGACCCGAAAAGTTAACTCTGATTTTTCTTCACAGATGCTGCCAGACCTGCTGAGCTTTTCCAGCAACTTCTGTTTTTGTTCCTGATTTATAGCATCCACAATTCTTTCGGTTTGTATTTTGTAAAAGATCCTAAATGTACAAGAGTGCTCTTGGCAGGGTAAGTGTTTCTTCTTGGAGGAGAATGTAAAACTAGGGATCACCATCTAAAAATAAAAGTTTGCATATTTAAGTTAGAGATGGGGAAAATGTTTTTCTTACAGAGGATCTTGAGCCTTTGGAACCCCTGTCGTCCAAAGACAGTGGAAGCCAAGTCTTTAAATATTTTTAAGGCAGAGGTAGATAGATTTTTGATAAGCATGCAGATGAAAGGTCATTGGGATAATTGGGAATGTGGAGTAATCAGATTATGCACAATATTATTGAATGACAGAGGAGGCCCAAGGGACGAGAGCCCTACCTCTACTCTTACTTTGTGCCTTTATGTTGAATTAACAATAAGAAATACTTGCTACAAAGTATGATGTCTTCATCTGATCCATCTGCACAATTCTGATAACCATTACACAGGAAGCTGGGGGTAGTGCAGTTTCCATCATTGCACTGAAACTGTCCAATTCTACAATAATGGGTTGGGCAGGTTGCAGGTTCATCTGATCCATCCCGGCAATCTCTCTGTCCATCACATTTCCACCAGATTGGGATACACCTATGACAGACAAGACAATGAAATTCGTCTTTGTATATGTGCACAAAATGTTCAAACGAGCGATGTAATTAAAACTACTACTAAAGTCTCAATATTTGCAATACAGCTTCACTGAATAAGAATGTTGAAGAATGAATAATGGAAGAAGAGAGAATTTATAAGTTCCTACTTCTGTTGCAGAGCATTTGTAGCTGTGCACAAAAACAAAATAAATTAACAGAAAATTCTGCAGTGCTAACTAAAATAACTCCACAGCGGCTGGTGTCCCATCACCAAGTCACCCTTTAGTTATACATGCACAGTCCTTGACTTTAGTACTGCTTCAGATCAACTCAGCTATCAGAGTGTCAATAACCCTGAAATTCCCCTTTCTATCTGTTAGTCAGGGCTCCCTGATTGGAGCAAAAACAAAGTTGCTGGAAAAGCTCAGCAGGTCTGGCAGCATCTGTGAAGGAAAAAACAGAGTTAACATTTTGGGTTCAGTGACCCTTCCTCAGAACCAGATTAACGGTCCCAGGGAACTCATATTCTATGAGATAGCAAGAACTGCAGATGCTGGAGTCAGAGACAATACAGTGTGGAGCTGGAGGAACACAGCAGGCCAGGCAGCATCAGAGGAGCAGGAAAGTTGACGTTTTGGGTCGGGGCCTGTCTTCAGAAATGGGGAGGGGAAGGGAGCTGGGAAATAAATAGAGAGGAGGGGTGGGGCTGGGGAAGGTAGGTGGGATGGTGATAGGTGAGCACAGGTAGGGATTGGTGGGGATTAGTCAGTGGGATGGGTGGGGTGGATAGGTGGGAGAGAAGATGGACAGGTTGTGTCAGATCAAGGATGCGGGATGAGAGGGAGGCTGGGACACCCAAATAAACAAGTCAGAAGTGTATGAATGTCAAACTGCAAAAAGGACTAAGAGATCAGAGGAGTAATTCTGTATATAAACTAGAAGTGATTTTAATTGTTTAACCCGTAGTTAGATTTAAAAGCCTAGCTACCCAACCCCTTTGGCACGCCATACCCTCCATTCCAAGCTATGGCATTTTCGTGCTGTTTCAGAGTGTATACACACTGCACCAAACTAATGAAACCTGACAGTACAAATTTCACATGAGAAGAGCTTTAAAAAATTGATTTATAACTTTCTTAAAACAGTCACACTTGCTAAAGCCCTATAAAAATGAGCTTTAAAGAATCAATAGTAGGAAATGCAGTGCTTGACACCTATTTTACCTGTGTAAATAAACACTTAAGCAAATAAGGAATAAATCCAAGAGAAGAACTTTCAGTCAAGTCATGTTTCCCCTTGAGTACAGTTTTTCAACAGAATGATAGATATCTGCTCTCGCAGAATTAATAATGACACTTGTCTGAAAGCCTAGACACAAATTAATCCGTTGAAACAGCTGTGCCCTTGATCGATTGACATTTTTTTGTTACCATAGGGTTCACTGGCTCTGTACAGTGTGTCAACAAGGTGATTGGGCATAGACACACCATAGGTTAGCATGGAGGATATGAGGGACACTGGAAGAGGATGTGGGTGAAGAGGCATAGTTTAGTTGGGACTCTTGAGGGCCATATCAGGTTGGCGGAGGGGAACACGTTGGAGGGTGAAGACCTTTTGAAATTATCTTTCAGAAAGGCTCTGTCATCAAGACTATGGTTCACAACATTTCCGAGCGGCTGTGAATCATAACTACTTCAAAAGCTGGCCCGACTCCACAAAATTTCAGAGATGCCTTTCTCTGATATGGAATTAGCCAAGTTGGGAGTTCTTTTTGTACCAACCCAAATCGGGAATGTGAATTTGGGTCAAGAATCCCAGAATCAATTCCCAGCCACCATTTTTAAAAGATCAGTAAAATTTCCCAACTCAGTATTTAATTGAAAATACAGCCTAACCTTTCAGGTTTGTGTCCTTTCAACAGAAATGAGGTAAGTCCAAAGATGTGCAGGTTAGGTGGATTGCCCATAGTGTCAAGGGATGTGCAGGCTAGGGAAATGCAGGGTTACAGGGATAGGGTAATGGGGGAGTCTGGGTGGGATGCTCTTCAGATGGTTAGTGTGGACTCGATGAGCTGAATGGTCTGCTTCCGCATTGTAGGGATTCTATGATTCTAACTAGAGATGTAATTGTTCTTCAGTGAAGGGTGAGTGGAACAAAGATAAAAAGGAAAAGCTCTGATAGGATCAAAGACAGGAGAGATTGAATGAGAGAAAATTCATTCCTCGAGGGCCAAAGGGAAAGTGGTAAGGAAAGGAACAAAAGATGTTCCTGGAGCAGGTATGCTACTGGCTGAAAGACAAGAAGTAAATGAAACAAATAGAGGAAAGGAAACAGGATGGGCTTGTTGAACTAAATGGTTTGTTGAACTCAATGCCAGTTCAATCTCTTAAAACTCTTGTTTTCTTCACAAAGAATTTCAGATCCTCATTTTCAAGGGCTAACTTAATCCTCAAATGACAGCAATGAGTATCCAACCTGAGTTCGAAGTGAGTGGCCTTTACCAGAACCTCCCCAACTCTGCTTACTTGGGGTAGCATGGAAGCTCAATGGTTAGCACTGCTGCCTCACAGTGCCAGGACCCGGGTCCAAATCCACTCTTGGGCGACTGTCTGTTTGGAGTTTGCACATTCTCCCTGTATCTGTGCGGGTCTCCTCCGGTTTCCTCCCCAGTCCAAAGATGTGCAGCTTAGGTGGACTGGCCATGGGATATGCAGTGTTAAAAGATTAGGGTAGGGGAGCAGGTCATCGAAGGGTCAGTGTGGACTCAATGGGCTGAATGGCATGCTTCTACACTGTAGGGACTCTATGAACATTTTGGGTGCTGTAGATCCACCAAAAGTTATCTTCGGCAATGCTTCTGAATTCAGCCACTGTCTTCTTCAGCTTGCCTGAACTGTACCATGAGACTCATCATTACAAAGCTCTGATGACTCCATTCCCTTTTGAATAGAATCAACTAGAAGTTTTGATTTCCAATCTCTTTTTTTCTTAGTTTGCTTAGAAACTGAAAGTGTGGGATTTGTCCGAAAAAAAAAGTCAAGTTTTGAAACCAAGGATTCCATTATATTTGAAACATTCAGCTTTGCTTTCTTGAAACAATAAGTGTAACAGTATGTACCCTTATAACTAAACAAGAAAAAATTGGTGCAATTCAGAAAATACTAGAAATGTAAATAACACGAGATAGGAGTTGAAGATGCGAAGAAACAATAGCAATGCAGCATTAATTATTGTACCTTTCGTTGTCAAGACATCTATACTGTGTACTTGTGCACATGGGGATACATTGAGTGATACTGCCAGACTGCTTAATGAAGTTATCTGGACATTCACATGTGTGACCTTGACCACCTTCTGCTATCAGACATAGATGGGAGCAGCCACCATTATCTTTATCACATGGATTGTTTGCTGGAAAAAGGAGGTATAAAAGTAACTGTTAATAAAGAAATTTCTTTCAATGCACATACAAGGAAGCAAATAATAAACAATAATTGGAAGTGTGGTACAAGGCTGCATAATAAAGTATGGGTAAACATAAATAGCTTTCACTCAACTGTTGAGAACAATCGAAATGCAGCTTTTTTTGAAAAATAAATAAACATTAATTCTCGCAGAGTCTGACGAAAGTAAACCGTCACAAAGGCGGCCACCTAGGATGAAGACCAGAGAATGAAGATTGTGACACAGTTGTGTTGCAACTGGTGCCAAATCCTCTTATGAACTGGATGACGACGCTTCTGAAAGTCAATACTCATCTATAACTAAAAATCAACAGAAGAAAGATTACAAGATGGAGTTTGACAATGATCATCAGCAGTACAAGCATCTATAAGCTGAAATTGATGAAATTACTAAACAATTTTTTCCTGTTGGACAGGAAGATTGATGAGACTGACAATGATGAGCAGTACCACATTGTTGCTGTTGCTAACATAATAGAATAAAAGAAGTGGCAAATTCTGTGGATTGTAAGGCAAAGAAGAAGCAAACTGTTGACTATAATTCAAAAAGCATCTCATTATCTGAGACATCTGATGGACATGAATGTCTCTATCTAAATACAATTTTATTTATTTTCTTTTTATTGCTGTGATTCCTTAGTTTCTTATACTTTCTGGGGATTGGCATTTTGCTTCACTGTTTATTAAAATGTATTAGCATGGATTAATAATGGTTAATGGACAAAAAACACATCCAGAGGTTGACAAATTGTTGAATATTAAAGAAATCAGTTAGATCAGCCATGATCCTTAATGACTCATGGACCAGGCTCGAGGACCCAAATGGCTTACTCCTGTATCTATTTCTAATATTCTTCTGACTAAAGACCAAATAGGGGCAGCTATCAGTAAGAAAGTTTTACTGAAAATAAGAAATAATGCAGTTTTACAGTGGCAGAACATTTCCATTTGTATTTATAAGGATTACTTGATATTCAATTTTGTTGAAATTGACAGTTACCTAAATCAACCAATCAATTAACAGCATCTGAAATGCCTTCCAGCATAAGTCAACAACAGTAAAACAAGTGTCAGCCAAACCATTTCATTCAACTGTTTTCTTTTCCTTTGGGCTATGAGGGAGTGAGATGAGAGTACAACTCACATTTTCATTGCTATCCATCATATAATTTCAGTTCAGGATACTATCCTATTGCACATGCGCAGCCCTAACATGTACGATCAAAACATAAAATATTGAGAACAATATGTTGAGACAAGGCAACATAAATCTTGCCAATAAAACATAGATCTTTAATAGCTGAATGTTCCATAAGTAATTAGTTAAGAAATTAATGGACATATCAATCATTTCAAAATGTGGCTTGCAATGCAACCCAAAGGATATATGAGCTACAAAATGCTCCAATTACATCAGTTTTAAGATTACACACTTACCAATTGGCTGTCGGTATGGATGGTATACATGAATGTCAAAGGGCCGGTGGGTGGTGTTCACCAACAACACCCTGCCTTCCCCGGTGTATTTATTTGCTTTCTCCACTGATTTTGTGTTCCAGTCAGTCCAATATATTGTATCTTCAAATAGGCTAATGGCAAACGGGTGGCTTAGGGTTCCATCAAATACCGTGTGCCGATGGTTCCCATCCAGGTTGGAAAATCTATAAAAATCAAACCATTTACGCTTCCATCAGAAAGTCACACTAACATTTGGTAAAAAGCTTCCAAACAATGGACTTCAATGATAATTTTTAAGACTTTTGTTTTACAGTAAACTTGTCATCACAATTGGTTTAAAAGATTAAAAAGTTACAAATGTGGAAGAGTATATGACTTAGATTACTAAAATCTTTGAGAAGAAAATGACAGCGGTCATTTCACAGAACAGGAGGAAGCTTAAATGCAACTATTAATAAAAAGCAATGCAATAAAATGTATTCCATGATCAATATTTTGATAGAGGCTCAAATTTTCTTGGAAACCTGTGTCAATTTATTTTTCCACTTTTGCATCTAATCAAATACAGGATATCTACAACTGTTAACTAGATAAAAAAAAGAAGTTTCTGGGTAAAGACTCTCAGTGCTGGAATGTCGGAAGTGTCATGCAGTTTTTGACACCCCATTCACATATTAATGAAGCGTGATAGCTGCAAGTTAAAGTCATAGATCACCAACTGCTTGTTATAAGGAGCTGTAATTAATATATTAATGTAAAGAATATGCCAGTTATTTTAAAATCAGCTCAAATAAATTACCTAAATTTACATACTTAGTATTAGTGCATCGCTATTCTCATTGTGGTGGATCCTTATCAGAAAGGCAAAATAAAAGGAGTAAGTCATCAATGGTAAGATTGGAGTAATGGCCAGCATAATGTAGTCTATGTCATCCTTCACGCTGTCCACGAATATCTGGAGTACTCTTTTAATAATAAAATGTGGTCTATTGTACCTATTGTATCATCCCAACACTTTGTTGTCAAAGTTAAAGTTTGGCAAAAAACTTCAGAAATACTTACTCAATATAATTCAGATGAGCATCAGTCCAATAGAGTTTATCATTTGTGTAGTCAATGGTCAATCCATTGGGCCACTCCAGTTTTTTGGTAACAATGGCAGATTTGTTTTTACCATCCATACCCATGCGTCCAATATACGCTTGATAACCCCAGTCAGTCCAGAAAATATATCTGCAGAAAGTTATAAATATGTAAATTCACTTCAAATTTTATGTTGTCAATTTGCTGTGTGGAGCATGACAAGACTCAATAAAATTATTAAAGTACATTTGCTTTTGCTGTAAATAGAAGCTCTTGTGTATCATAGGGAGTTGGATCTGTTCCCTGCAGCAAACATGAGACCACATGGTTGTATTGTCAGCCCAGTACCAGAGTGACATATCTGGTCTGGAGTGACTTGATTGATGAATAAGATCATGAATCGTGTTGACAAAGTATAAGTAGAAATGAAGTTTCCTCTTGTGGATGAATCCAGAACTAGTGGTTGTATTTTAAACTTATGTGTTGCCCTCTTAGGCCAGAGATGAACAGAACAACAAAGTGCAGGGCTGGATGAACACAGCAGGCCAAGCAGCATCATAGGAGCAGAAAGGCTGACGTTTGGGGCCTAGACCCTTCATCAGAAAAGGGGGAGGGGAAGGGGGTTCTGAAATAAATAGGGAGAGAGTGGGAGGCGAATAGAAGATGGATAGAGGAGAGGATAGGTGGAGAGGAAACAAACAGGTCGAAGAGGCGGGGATGGAGCCAGTAAAGGTGAGTGTAGGTGGGGAGTTAGGAAGGGGATAGGTCAGTCCAGGGAGGACGGACAGGTCAAGGGGGCGGGATGAGGTTGGTCGGTAGGAGATGGGGGTGCGGCTTGAGGTGGGAGGAGGGGATAGGTGGGAGGAAGAACAGGTTGGGAAGCGGGGACGAGCTGGACTGGTTTTGGGATGCGGTAGGGGGAGGGGAGATTTTGAAGCTTGTGAAATCCACATTGATCCACAGCACTTTGTTGTCTCGGATTCTCCAGCATCTGCAGTTCCTACTATCGATGAGCAGAACAACTTTCTTTCAAAGGATTATACGATTTTAGAATGCTTTACCTCAGAAGGCTGTGAAGTCGTGCTCACTGAATATTTTTAAGCCAGATGTAGATAAAATTCTTGTTAGCCAGTGTAATCAAAGTTATCAGAAGTAGTTAGGCTACATATGGCTTCATATCAGGCTTCACATGTTTGCTAGTTCAGAGAATCTGAAAAGCAATTCTTTTCTTGCAATAGTTTAAGGTTGCGCTTTCAATTCTCAGTACAAACTTCAAATTCACACAGGAATGATGAGCAATATGTGATTCAGATCATTTTAATTGGTCATGTTCACCTTGCACAATGTATATTTGCTCAATTTACTGTTTTGGCTTCATACTTGTTAACTAAACATAGTTGTGATGAAAGTTACAGCAATAAAGTCTGTGGGCATGTTTCCAAAATGTCTGGAGCTCGAACAAGGAAGTAATGAGTTCTTAAAGATGGCACAGCGATTAGCACTGCTGTCTCACAGTACCAGGGACCCAAGTTCAATTCCAGCCTTGAGTGACTATCTGTGTGGAGGTTGCACATTCACCAGTGTCTGCACAGGTTTCCTCCAGGTGCTCCGGTTTCCTCCTGCAGTCCAAAGGTGTGCAGGTTAGGTGGATTGGCCATGATAAATGCAGGGTTATGAGGATAAGATGCAGTCTAGGTGGGATGCTCTTTGGAAGGCAAGTGCAGATGCAACGGGCAGCAAACTGTCTTTTCATACTGTTGGGATTCTATGAGTCTGTAAATAACATTTTAAAAATTATCCATTCTTCTCTTGGGCTTGGAGCTTCTATGTGATTGTGTGTATTTCTTTTTACACGCAACACCATCCTTAGAACAGGTGAAATGTGGTTGAGAATTGGCAGGGGCAGGCAGGCAGCACCAGCCAGAGCAATGATGGTTGGCGAGAGAAGCAAGAAGAATTGGAATGGGGGTGGCCATTGCTTCCAGGGCCCCAAGACGGGCCACAAATTGCCCACTTCTGACCCCTCCTCCATTAAATCCAAAGGACGGTCCCCAGAATTAAACAGGCTGTCTCCTCACACTCACTGCCAATAAAATGCAAGTAGCAATAGGTTTGAACCATCAATTCATCAGTTAATCTCAAGTTTTGTCTGCTTTAAACAATAAAAACATTCCTGGTCCTTAACCAGATCATGACATAATTTTGAACCGCTGGCCTCTGAGCAGAAGGAGCCATCCTCTGCTTCCCCGCTACTGGCAGAATGTTATGGTTCTGGGGCGACAGGCCAGTTTCCACTATCCGACTCTAAAAGCTTCCCTCACTATTTTTCAGGTCCCTACTTCCCAGTCAATTCCTTCTAGGCATAGTTTGAATGAATAATCAACTGCATACTGCGCTCCAATCTCACTAGTATAGTTTTCTACTGTATAAGTTTCAATAATTTAGATGTTGGGTTGGCACTGTGATCGCACACACACATTTTTAGCTATGTTACTAAAAGTTTTCAAAGGTAGTGCTCCAACATATCAAGGAACATTTTAAAAGTCTTTTTTTGAAATTACATTTTGAAACACTGCCTGCTTGGGTTAGTTCAGAAGAAAAACTTGTACTTGTCAATATGTCAATGAATTTGAGCAGAAACTCAAGAGGATAAAGCATTTCCCAAAAACAGGTGTGATTGTGGGCACAAATTGTACCAGAATCACTTATTGTGCCACCGTAGAAACTCTAGCCCTTGATGCAATTTTCTTTAAAAACATGGGAAAATAATTTTGGGTCCTCTTACCCATATTTTGGATAGACAGCAATAGCTCGAGGGTTCTCAAAGCAGTAAATATTGCCTGTATCCACACAGTGATCAGCCAGCATTTTACGGAACCTTCCATCAAGTTCCGCAACATTGAGGCAATTTTTAAATTGATCAAGCCAGTACAGCTTCCTGCAATAAAATTAAAAAGACTCATTTGACTTGCACAAAAGACAATATTCAACGTTTTCCAATAGTAACCCATATACAATAAGTTTGGATAAATATTTAAAAAGGAAAGATTTTCAGAGTTCTGGAGGAAAAACAAGGCTGTCAGACTAATTGACAATTCATTCAGAGATTTGGCATAGCCATGGTGGGCTGAATGGCCCTCTCTGCTGTTTTATTTAATGCTAGCATATCAGTAGGTAATACTGAGAAGCAACTGACCTTATGCAACAGCAATCAATTGTCTATAAATTATACAATAAATGCATTGTTGGAAATTAATACGTTGGGAAGTTGACAGGGTTCAACTTACTCTGATTCTGGTCATGCCCGTTTATTATTAGCCTTAACTACTTTCACTATTCCCCACCAAAAATCCAATGCCACTGTTAACAAAATTTCAACTCATTCCACTGCATCTTTAAACATATGTAGGAAAAGAAATATAAGAGCAAACAACTGCGGATGCTGGAAATTTGAAATAAAAACAGAAAATTGTGTAAATGCTCAATAGTTCTGTAAGCCTCTGTGTAGAGAAATCAAAGTTAATTAAGGGATGTTACCAGGCCTGCTGGTTTCTAGTTTTATTTTGGAAAAGAAATATCCAAATGAGTTACAAAATAAAGGGGAAAAATATTCTCAAATGTCACTCATTTCACTGCTTGTATGCATTCACAAGCAACTAGTGTTGTAAAGTTTCAAGTGGTTAAGAGGTAATACTGTTGATGGAAAAACTTCAGTAGTGTTGAAGCTTCTCTCATGATCTGACAGTAAGTGTACTGGCATGCTTATGTGAATTTAGAGTCACCTCTGAGACACATTTGGAAACTTAGAGTAAGCTTCATTATCCAAGCTCAAAGTGGGCAGCCACACTCAAAAGGAATACTGGGAAGGAAAAAGGCATTATAGCATCATACCTGCAATATCTGTGCTTCCTACAACCATGATTGACTTATTAGATACAGAACCTGTTGAAGTTACCTCCTGATTTCTAGCTATGAACATTCACAAAAATCTGGAGAAGTTTCACATAAGCCACAATGTGGCTTCAATCTACTCTTCAGAAGAGATTAGAAGTCTTCAGCAGACAACACTTGAGTTGTTAGTGAATAATGTTACGCTAACATCACCTTCAACTGTTTGGTTTTGTTTACTTTACTATAGATTGAATTCTATTGAATATCTCTTCCTTAAATTGTCCTATGTACTTGCAGAAGATATTACAAAGATCACACTTATGCAGTAATAATAAATCACATCTGTTAAGCCTTGATCTTATTGAAATGCAAACCAAGCTTGGAGGGCTGAATGGCCGACTCTTGTTCCTTGTCCATGTATTTAAATGCTCAGTAACCCATCTCAGATTAAGCTGAAGCAATGTCAAGTATGTGAAACAACCAGCTCTGGCTTCACAGACAATGGAATCTATGACTACTACCTAATTTTAATAAGTTTTTTTCTGACAATGTAATTTCAAACTGAATACTACCTATTATATCCATTTAACATTATAAGACATGACAAAATGTCTTTACTAATCTTTACTTTGGGCTAATGAAAAATGCTTCAATCCTGAGAAGTCTGGGTTAAATTAAAACCAGTTTTAACATGGCTGAGTTTATTGTGCAATTTAGTCTGGAAATAATAATAAGCATTCACTCCCAAACATTGTAACTGAATAGTTATATTACCTTCCAACCCAGTCAACAGCCAGGCCTTCCGCACCTTGTAAATCGTGGTTAATTATAGTTTCCTTTTTGGTTCCATTCAGGAAAATCCGTTCAATAATTTTTTGACCCAAGTCAATATAGTACAATCTCTGCTCAACTCTGTCAAAGTCCAAAGCCACCACATTAATGAGACCTTGTTGAACAAGAGTATAAATTTCCCCATCTACAGACAGGTTTCGTATGTAGTAGCGATTACTGAAGAGGAGATAAGGAGCAATATTGCTGTTTTGGCGACAACTTCTTCCATCAGGTTCTCGAAGATGTCCTGGGGCACATTTGCAGATGTAGGAACCCTCTGTGTTTTCGCAAATCTGACTGCAAACATCCGGTGTTACATTGCATTCATCAATGTCTTCACAAGTCTGTTGATCATCCATGAGATGGTAGCCAGGGTTACAAGAGCAGAAGAAACCAGTCAATGTGTTGGTGCACCCGTGTGTGCAATGATTCAGTGCAGAATCATTGCATTCATCAACACCTGTAACAATACAATCAGAAAATGCAAAATTATTAACAAAATAATAGGTAAAATAGTTTCCTTTGGAAAGATTATTATTTAAATTATTTGTAAACAGTTCTTATGAAGCACAGAAATAAAATAAATTCAAAGATGAATTTTCTACAATTGCAAAGTGCCAGGTTACTTAAATAATTTAAAATATATAATAGTACAATTTACTCCAAAATTAAAATCACTTATATGAGCAGCTGGAATGCCAAAACAAACTTAAAAATAAAGTGCATAATAAGGGAATACACTGTTGGACTGGCAGAGCAGCTGCAGGCAGAAATTATGGTATAAAATCTCCAAGAATATATCTACCCATACTAGCAACCCCAGAAGAGAGTAGGAACATCAAATTTTATGTGACGTAGAAAGCTGACTGTCATGCATCTCACAAGTTCCAGTGAAAAGGAAAGATATTTAAAACATTTTAAAGATATAAGCTCAACTGTGAAGACCTAGAAGCTTTCAGATTCAATTTCTAATCAAAAGTGAACTAACTGATCTCAACTTGGAGTAGAATTGGGACAAGGAAGTTCTTGTTAACAGATTGTCCTGGAATAGTGAAAGAAAAACCATTTTAAATTTTTTGCTTTTTAAAAAATCAGTATCTAGCAATCTCCTGCTGGAAATGTATAGAATGGGTAAGAGTAGGGGGACCTGTTTGTGCTGGCCGCTCAGGTAAGATAGCACAAAGAATCTTCCCACATGGTGAAAAAAATGTACACTTACCATTTGGGGCATCATATTCCAGCAAGGAGATGTGCAGAAATAATTGGCAAGAAGAAAAATGATTAAAAGACAAAATTTCAATTGACAGTCATAGTGCAGCATGCCATCTGAGTGTGAAACATCTTCAATCTTTGGGATTCTGCTCAGAAAGGACTGATCTCAGGCTCTACTGACATTTCAACTTCATCATTGTACGGCAGTGGAAACCACTTTGCATTAACAGTAATCTAGTATGCAACTGAAGCATAATTAAATCAATTGTACTTTGAACTGAGTCATTCTTCTTATTTCGATGGTGATAAAATGTGCCAAAATTTTGTTTAGTACTAAATTTTGGATACTCTACAGCCCTATCACCAATTGGACAAATCCAGAATCATCCTTCATGTTGATAAGCAGCAGGTTCACAAATCCAACAAAAGTTCTGAAACTGAATACATACCACATGTTTTCTCATCACTGTTATCAGAACAATCATCGACGTCATTGCACACCTTGCCACTTTCAATACAGGCTCCATTGTCACATCTGAAATGTTGTGGAGGGCATGTTGGCTCAGAGGTGACACACAGGTGTTCCCTCTCATCGGATCTATCTCCACAATCATTATCACCATCACAGACCCATAACTGTGAAACACAGCGACCATTCTCACATGTAAACTGGTGTTGGGCACAAGGTTGGTATCTACATCCTCGTTCATCACTGCCATCACCACAATCATTGCGTCGGTCACATCTGTGGTCAAAGTTAGACATTGAATATGGAAATATCATGAACATGCCTCAATAACAGCATTTAAGAAAACATTATACTCATTTCAGAAGTTGCTGGAAAAGCTCAGCAGGTCTGGCAGCATCTGTGAAGAAAATATCAGAGTTAATGTTTCAGGTCCAATGATTTCTGAGGAGGGTCACTGGACCCGAAACGTTAACTCTGATATTTTCTTCACAGATGCTGCCAGACCTGCTGAGCTTTTCCAGCAACTTTTGTTTTTGTTCCTGATTTATAGGATCTTTCGGTTTTTATAATACCAATTTAACTGAAACATAGAAAATAGCTGTAGGAGTAGGTCATTCAGCCCTTTGAGCTTATTTCACATTCAATAGAATCATGGTTGATCATTCAATTCAAAGCACTGTTCCACTTTCTCCCCATTTGCTTTGATCCTTTTAGCCCTAAGAACTATATCTAGCTCATCATTGAAAATATTCAATATTTTGGCTTCCACTGCTTTCTGTGACAGAGACTTCCACAGGCTCACAACTGCCTGGGTGAATAAACTTTCCTTCATCTCAGTCCTACATGGCCTACCTAATATCCTTAAACTGTGACCCCTGGTTCTGGACCACCCAGTCATCAGAAATATCTTTCCCGCATTTATCCTGTCTAGTCTTGTTAGAATTTTAGAAGTTTCTGTGAGATTCTCCCTCATTCTTCTAAACTCTTGTTAATTTAGTCTTAATCGACCTAGTCTCTCTTCCTACATTAAGTCCTGCTATCCAAGGCATCAATCTGGTAAATCTTCATTGCACTTCCTCCATAGCCAGAACATGCTTCCTCAGGTAAGAGAGACCAAGCTGTATGTAATATTGCAGGTGCGGTCTCACCAAGGTCTTGTACAATTGTAGCATGACATCCCTGCTCCTCTACTCAAATCTGCTCACTATGAAGGCCAACATACCGTCTGCCTTCTTCACCACCTGCTGCAACTACATGTTTACTTTCAGCAACTGGTGGACTTTCCCGATCTATTGCCATTCAAATATAAATCTGCTTTTGGTACCAAGGTTAATAACTTCACATTTATCCACATTTTACTTCATTTGCCATGGATTTGCTCCTCAGTCAACTTGTCCAAATTATAATGAAGCATCTCGCAGCTCAGCCTCCCATCTAGCTTAATGTCATCTGCAAACTGGAGATATTATATGCAGTTCCCTCATCTAAATCATTCAATACATTTTGTGAATAGCTGGGGTCTATGCACCAATCCCTGTGGCGCCTGTCACTGCCTGCCAATTGGAAGAAGACCCTTTTATTCCTATTCCTTGTTTCATGTCTGCCAACCAGTTCTCTAACCATGTCAGTACACTATCCCCAATTCATGTGCTTTAATTTTACCTACTCATCTCTTAGGTGGGCCCTTACCAAAAGCGTCTGAAAGTCTAAATAAACCACTTCCACTTGCTCCACCCCACCCACCATCAATTTACTAGTTACATCCTTGAAAAATTCCAGCAGATTGTTCAAGCACAATTTCTCTTTTGTAATCTGAGTTGACTCTGTCCAACCCTGTCACAGTTTTCCAAGTGCTCTGCTATTTAAACTTTCATAATGGATTCTAGCATTTTCAGTGTCTGGCACTACCAATGTCTGGCTAACCAGTCTAAAAATTCTCCGTTTCTTCCTATATCCTTTTTTAAAAGTAGGGTTACATTAGCGATCCTTCAATCATAGGAACAGTTCCAGAGTCTACAGAATCTTGGAAGAAAGTTGAGTATTTGCACAGGATTGACAAACTTGACCCAACCAAAATTGTTTGGTATTGTGAGCAGTCCAAATATCAGAGAACATCTTAAAAGCGAGAAAGTAAGATGGACCGTCAGAAAACATACGTTAAATAAAACTTTAAAATAATTATCTACCCCGGAAAACCAACGAAATGAGGGCCACTATAGGCTGAAAAGCTGGTCTGCTGGGAGAAAGGATTGAGGAATGTGATAAGAATGTTAATAGATGGGTTTAAGAGCTATTGGAAAGCAGCAAGCATGTTTGGATTAATGGTTATTTCTTGCATATAAAATTGAGTATAATCTCAATCAATTTAATACCACTGAATCTCGGTGTTTCTGATTCGGGTGTATTGCTCACACAAACCAATGGAGATGCAGTGAAAGTGTCCCTACCTCTGAGCCAGGAAGTCTGGGTTCAAGTACCACCTGTTCCAGAGGTGTGTAAGAACATCTCTGAATAGGTTGATTAAAAATGTCTACACAAACCATTAGACAGCCATGAAGTTACACAGTCAGGACTCATCTTCTGATTCAAAATATCCAAAGGAGAAAAAATTTGGATCCAATGTGTGAATGAGTAAAACTTATACTTGAGTGAAGATAATTTGCATTAGATCTTTAGAGAATTAAAAAACATCCCATTACTAGACTACTGAAGACTCTGTACATGTGTAGGTATCAAGGCAAACATAAAAAATTGAGAAATTAGCCAAAAAAACTCAAAAAAGGACGTTAATAATTGTTCAAGAGAAATAACTGATCATCAATAGTAACCAATCGTTTTTAAAAGACCTTGATTTTACCTAACTGTGATCATTCAAGCTAAAAGGTTATGTTGACAATGCATCAATTGAATTATTATTTTTATACAAATGAAGATTCTTTGAAGGAGGCATAAAAATTTGAAAATCTGAATTTGCCAAAGCATAGATTGATATGAATAGCATGTAACTGTCTCTTATGCAAAAATATTAGCATTCACTGTGCTGCAAGCTCACATTAAAAACTGCATAATTAAACTTTCTACATTGGCCTGAAATTATGGCACTAATAAGTATGAGGCTTTCAGAGCTCATATTCAATACTGAGTAAAACTGACAATAACTTCTAACATCTATTCATTAGTAATTAAATGCAGAAATCCAGAATTTACTGTTGGAAATACCCTGCTTAATTACAGGATATACTGTTGCAGTCTTTGCTGGGTGACTCAGCACTAAAATCACTATTGGATCATGAACATAAACTGTCTACTATTCTTACTCTAAGATGGTTGAGCCTTGATCAATCAGAAGTTTTTAAATGGTCTACCAGGTCATAATTATTGATGAAGGATAACTTTGGCCTTGATAAAATAGGATTCCATGCTCGTGAAACTTACTTACTTTCTCAAAAATGAAAATGTTATTATGTTTTTGAAAAGTATTTTTTTCCCAAAGTTTGTGGTTTGATACTTAACTTTCTCAGATAAACCCATATGTATGTTTGAATCTCTTACTTTTCAAATACATAACCTGTATTTTACTTTCTCCTTTACTGACTTTGAAAATTCAGCTTCTCTGGCTTCAGCACTATTCCTGGATGCTACAGGTCACTTGCAGAAAGTACTAAATGCAAATTGACAAATTGGAAAAGAGTAAGTCTACACTCTAGAGCCTGGTAAACATTATGAGCAGCTTTTATTTCAATGGCCACATAATCCAAATCATAATTCTATTTTTTTCCCAAAACTGCACAGATGTTACATTAGAGATAGTAGGAACTGCAGATGCCTCCGCTTGGTTTCCCCGATGTAGAGGAGGCCACAACGGGAACAGCGGATACAGTATACCACATTAGCAGATGTGCAGGTGAACATTTTCTTGGGGCCTGGGATGAGGTTGAGGGGGGAGGTGTAGGGGCAGGTGTAGCTTTCTCCGCTCTTCCCGTTGTGGCCTCCTCTACATGGGGGAAACCAAGCGGAGGCTTGGGGACCACATTGCAGAACACCTACGCTCGGTTCGCACTAAACAACTGCACCTCCCAGTCGTGAACCATTTCAACTCCCCCTCCCATTCCTCAGACGACATGTCCATCCTGGGCCTCCTGCAGTCCCTCAACGATGCCACCCAAAGGTTGCAGGAACAGCACCTCATATTCCACTTGGGAACCCTGCAGCCCAATGGTATCAATGTGGACTTCACAAGCTTCAAAATCTCCCCTCCCCCTACCGCATCCCAAAACCAGCCCAGCTCGTCCCCGCCTCCCTAACCTGTCCTTCCTCCCACCTATCTCCTCCTCCCACCTCAAGCCCCAACCCCATCTCCTACCTACTAACCTCATCCCGTCCCCTTGACCTGTCCGTCCTCCCTGGACTGACCTATCCCCTCCCTAACTCCCCACCTACACTCACCTTTACTGGCTCCATCCCCATCTCTTTGACCTGTCTGTCTCCTCTCCACCTATCTTCTATCTGCCTCCCCTTCTCTCCCTATTTATTTCAGAATCCCCTTCCCCTCCCCCATTTCTGAAGAAGGGTCTAGGCCCGAAATGTCAGCCTTCCTGCTCCTTTGATGCTGCTTGGCCTGCTGTGTTCATCCAGCTCTACATCTTGTTATCTCAGATGTTACACTACTATATTTTTATCCAGGAAGATATTTAAAACAGAAAGGCTGCACTTAAAAAACTATTGACCCATCATCTCAAAGTCAAATTATAATCAGGAAGTGGTAAATGGAAGGAATTATGATAATGCAATGTTTTAATTTAGTCATAAAATATTTGGCACGTATGCACGTTTGTGAAATCTAGCCGACATTTGGTACAAGTCTATAGAGTATCAAGGAGCAGTCAAACCTAGAATGTAAAGGCCCATCCATCTCAGTTGGGATTTCAGTGCTTTGTCAGCACAGGGAAGCAACTTCTAATCAGCTTTTTGAAAACAGTGAATACTTTGCGTCCCCAGTATTTTTGGGAAATAGAAGTTTCACAATGAAAGTGTTAAACAATTATAAATGCAAAAGAAAATCTCAAAAATGAAAAAGGAAATGCAGGGCTTAATCTTATCCCATTAATCCCAGCACTAATCCTCTCTTTTGGCCTACAAAGTTTCTTCAACCATATAAACACTTTAGAGGAAATGGGATTAGGAAGTTCATATTACAGAAGTACCACAAACAGAATCTAAAACTTATTTTATGGCAAGCCTCACCTTTGATCTGCTAACAGGTAAACAAGCAAGCTGATAAAGAAATGACAAATAAAACAAAAGTAAAAGCGCTCTTGCCCTGAATAAGCTTTGTACAACAGATCAAGTTTGTTTCAAATGCTAAATATCAATTCGAACCATTCTTATAACGTTTCAACAATTTGTTCCATCCATTATATCTTGAAGTAATACTGAAAACTTAAACACCATTAAAGAGAAAAAACACAAGGTTTTTGTCAGCAACAAACCTGTATGAACTCCTAATACAGAGGCCATTGTCACATGTGAACTCTGTTGCAGTGCAGGATCGCCTAGTGCAATTCTGATGTTCATCTAAAGCATCAGAACAGTCAGAATCTCCATCACAAATCCACATCCTAGGGATACACCTTCTCTGTGGAGGATGGCTGTTGACACATGTAAATTCTGTAGCTGTGCATGTGCGGTTTGCTGGAACAAAATACATTGAGGTAAATGAGATATTCTTTGAGCTGTTAATTAATCAAGAAATCTAACATTGAACTACAGAAGTTTCAGAGACCCAACTTTGACCTGTAGAAATTGGGCAGTGTCTACATTAAGGTGTGATCCCAATGTGACATATTCAGTAAATGCTTCCAGAGGCAGGAGGCACCATGCTCATTTAGCTCAAACTACATCAGTTAATTCACCAATTCCAGAGAGCAGCAAATGACCACTGTTCTTTGAATCATCTGTGGGGAAGGGGAAAAGTAATCAGGAGAACAGATGTGTGACAACTGGCAGGCACCTGTTGAATTAAGGCAGAGCTGGGACAGGACCCTTGTTCCTCCTGACTTCACAATAAAGACAAACAAAAAAAGTTGAAACTGAACTTTCTGTTGGCAGTTTCCAACATTCAGTTCAAAGTCAACAACAAAAAACAAGTTTCAACTGAATTTTGAAAAAGGACCTGCAACTGATGTAAAACTACCAATTTGCTTTTGGAAAGGGCTGAATGCTGCTTCAACCGTTCATCTCCAGACAGGTATTAAATTATACAACTCACAAGTTAAAAATCAAAGCCATGCATGCTACTGACCATATTGAGTGCTCGCGTGCCAGTCTGAGACATGTAAAACAAATTAAATAATCTAACTTCTAGGCAGTGAGTAATTAAAACTGGAAGCTCAGAATTAATGCGTTATGTTGCTTTATATTATTCTTCTGTCACTATCTGGTGCCTTGTGCAGTAGTAACAGAAAGATTGTGCCCAAGTAGGACTGATTTTGAGTAGGTATCACCTAATTTGTAACAATTTGCAACTCCTCAGATACATGAAGCAGTCTCAGTCCATAAAGAAAAGGACCTGGGCAACACCCAGGCTTGGGCTGGTAGCATTCATGCCATACAAGTGCCAGACAATGACCGTCTCAAAGAAAGAATCTTACCATTGCCCCTGATGATCAATAGCATTACCATAAATACTCCACTATCACCATCTTGGAAGTAATGAGGTAGCCATCTAAATACTGTGGTTACAAGAGCAAGTCAGAGAATTTTGCTGCAAGTACTCAGCTAATAACTCCTTGCAGGTTGTCCACTAGCTACAAGGCACAAGTCAGCAGTGTGATGGAATTATCTCCGCTTGCTTTAAAGAGTACAGTTCTAATAACATTCAAAAAGCGTGACATCATCCAGACTAAGCAGCATGCTTGATTGGTACCTCACCCAAAGCATTTTACATTCACTGCCTCCACTACTCACACACAGTTTCTGCAAATGTGTACTATGTCAAAGATTTACTGAGCAACTCACCAAGGTCCCTAAGCTGCTTCCAAACCCACAACCTCTACCATCTAGAGGGACAAGGGCAACAGACACATGAAAACACCACTGCCTGCAAATTCCCCTCCAAGCCAAAGAGTATTCTGACATAGACCTATACTGCAATTTCTGTAGGCCAATATCCTGGAAATCGCTCCCTAAAAACCCTACAGGAGTACCAACACCACAAGGACGACAATGATTCAAGAAGTCAACTCACCACCACCTTCCTCAGGGCAATTAGGCACGGCGAGCAAATACTGGTCCAATCAGCAACACTGAAATCTTGTGAATTAATAAAACTGGCAGTCTTCATGGGACAAATAAACAAAGCAACAATATCTCAGTGATGACACCATCACCTAAGTATATATGATCATTCCTAGGTATGATATCACAGACAGACTCGGTCAAGTGGATAGGAATACTCTATTCATCTTGGTTGAGTGATCCATATTTTTGAGATTAGAGATAAGTGGTTTAGAGGGGAAACAAGGGAATGGCTTTAAACACATGGTGGCAGGGATCTGGAAATCAATGCTTGAGTGTAAATTAGAGGCAGAATCCTTCAGAACCTTTAAAAAGCATGTGAATTTGTACTTGAAGAGCCTTAACCTACAGACCAAAAGCTGAAAAGGGTTTTTGCTGAGATAGCTACTTCAGTTGACACTGAATTGATTGACTGAAATGCTTCCTTATATCCTCTAAATTTCTATGATTCTATGGAATATGAGTTAATGAGATACATGGTAATTGGTTACAATTATTCTTCTGGTGACACCTACCACAGTTATGTCTTTGATCTTCATCACTTATGTCCCCACAATCATTGTCACCGTCACAGATCCAGGTTGAGGGGATACATCTGCCATCATCACATTTGAACTGTTGGCCTGAACAAGTGCGCTCTGTGCGAACTAGAAATAAAAGGTAGCTGACAATGCGATAACAGGTAAAATGTATAGTCTTTGGAGTCACAATAAATGAAATATAAGTATTTAATTGAACATTTTCTAAGTCAATTCATTAAGGATGGACAAAGTTGTTGAATGCATCTCCATATATATAGGGTGTATTTTCACATGCTGCAGTCCAAAAGACATAGAATGTTCCAACCATTCATTGTGGGTATTGCTTGTGAAAGTTAGTAAGGTATAATGTCATGTAAAGTCAGTTCATTAGCAGTATTTAGTATGTATCATACTTACGACAAGTAGATGGTTCATCAGACCCATCAGCACAATCCATTCCACCATCACAATACCAGTGTGATGGGATACAGCGACCAGAAGAGCAGCGGAACTCATTCTCTGCACAAGTTCCAGTGGCTAAAATTGATTCAAAAAGTTATAACGTACATCAGCAAACCAATATATTAATAGGTGGCAATTGCATTCAATTAAGGGGATGATTTTACTTAATATCTTCCTTACTTTGTCAGTGAAAAAAATTGTAAGAGGTGAGGGTTTCCAGATAGATTCCCCAAAGTTGTTATGTTGCAGGCTACTAAGGAAACTAAAGGTTGTAATCTTGATGGGCATATTGCCACTTGAAAATGAGAAATAGAAAAACAGGTTTGAAAGCTATTTAATTGATACTTGAAAGTGAAGTGTTCTCAACTTTGTAATGAATATGGCAAGGAACAGGAATGATAAGGGTAACTTTTTAAAAAATTTACTAGCCTTTCACTGAGAACAGTTATGTGTAATAGTAGTTCAACATGAGGTAGCATATCCAATAATGCATATCTACATCATTAATGTATTACTGAATGGCAGATATGCATTATAATTATTTGAAACAGCATTTGCTTTCTGAAACTGTTCACTCAGCCCCATTTCTCTACACTTTGCCCATTTAATTTCTACCTAAATAATTCGCCAATTGCCATCTAAAACCTATTGTAGATTCAGCCACATTCTGGTAGGATATTTCAGATCTTAAAGCCATCTGCATAAATATATTTCCAAACTTTCTCTTTGCCCTTTTGACAAGCTATGTCCACTTTATAATGTACCATACTGTAAAAATACAATTTCCTGTTTACTTCATTAAGTTGCTTCCTGATTTTAAACATCACCCTTATATGTGTCATGTTGCACAAGAAAATGGATTGGCAACGCAGTGCCCTTTTGTTTTGTATGGTATAGGGAGCAAAAATCATTTGTACAATGACTGCATTCAATGAGCTATTACCCTATGGCTTTATAATTACTTTTTGTTTTTGAACAAATGAACTCTGCTTCATATAAATGTCTCACAATTCCCTGAAAACTGGATGAAGGTGAGATTGAATTTAACCAGAAAACATATGCATACATTTTGTTTGGTGCTAACACAAGAGTTTTAAAACAACGTATTGTATGAAGGACTCCATCATGCTCTGCAGTACACTAAGATCCTAAGGCCATAAGAAATAGGAACAGGAGTATGCTGTTCGGTCCCTCAAGCACGCTCCACCATTCAATAGGATCATGACTGATCTGATACTCCTCACGTCCAATTTCCTGCCCATTCCACCTAACTCTAGAATCCCCTACTGATCAAGATTCTCTTTCTCCTTCTTTATCCTATTCTTTTTCCCTATTCTAATGTCTATCCTATTAAAATTTGTGCATTTCAGGTAAAATTAATTTGATAATGCTAAAGAGCAATATAGACAATCTTTGTTAGAAACAGCATTGTTTTGCATGAATTAGTTTTAATTGAAAAATTATCCACTTTTATTAGCGTGGTGATAATTTGATGTAATATTGAAATAGTTTACAATTTTAAATTCTTTACAAGGCAAGTACAGTTTTCACAAGTAAACATATAAACATAGAAAATAGGAGGAATGGACTATTACGCCCTTCAACCCTTTCCTCCATTCAGTATGATGATGGCTGATCATCCAAATCAGTTCCCTGTTCCTGCTTTCTCGCCCTACACTTTGTTCCCTTTATCCCTAACCAAAATGATAATGCATTAAAGGGTTCATACTACACAGTATGATTCAATAATGTGAGCATAAAATATTCCATTTATAACTGCCATATTATCGATAACACAAACTACATACCACAGTGTGTGGAGCTCTCGTCACTCATATCACCACAATCATTATCTCCATCACAAAGATAAGTGCGAGGAATACAAATGTTGGTTGTTTGACATTTTGTATAGCTAGGCTGACAGGTCCGATCAGCTACAGGCAAATATAGGAATAAAGAAAATTTAGTGACATGTCTTTGAAGACACCTTAAGCATATTTTCTTTTCTATTCATTTGTGGGATGTGGGTGTCGCTGGCTGGCCAGCATTTCCTGCCCATCCCTATTTGCCTTTGAAAAGGTGGTGGTGAGCTGCCTTCTTGAACCGCTGCAGTCCTCCTGCTGTGGGTTGACCCATAATGCTATTAGGGAGGGAATTCCAGGATCTTGACCCAGCGACAGTGAAGGAACGGTGATACATTTCCAAGTCAGGATAGTGAGTGACTTGGAGGGGAGCTTGGAGGTGGTGGTGTTCCCATATGTCTAATGCTCTTGTCCTTCTAGATGGAAGTGGTCGTGGGTTTGGAAGGTGCTGTCTGAGGATCTTTGGTGAATTTCTGCAGTGCATCTTGTAGATAGTACACACTGCTACTACTTAATATTCTGAACTATGAGCATTGTTAATGCCATCTGCTAAAGATGTGCTAAAATTGAATACTTTTGACTTTGATTTAACATGTTAATTGAACTGAACAGCAACAAAGCTTTCAAAATAGAAGTTGACTTCTCAAAGTTTCAACATTGTGGCAGACAGTAAAATTTGTAAAACTCCATTCCTGTACTGGATTGAAAAATTAGGTGCAATTTAAAACTGTTTTTAAATGAAAACTGTTTTATTCAACAATGTATGAATTAACCTAATAAATATCCTATTAAATCAAGTCAGAAACTAATGCAAAAAAGCTGTATTAAAGTCCTGAGAAGATAGAAAATGAATGGCGATTACTGAAAAACAAAGAGGGTTGTGCTTAGAAGACAGTATTCTAAAATTGACTTTTAAGTGTTGACTGGATGAATGGGTCAATGCAGTTTTATTTCAGTTAGACATTCATGAACTAGAAGTATTTGAATCAGACAGGAATGACTACCTCTGCCATTTTCATGTGACTGGAAATGTGCATGTCTACTTTGAATATCCAGTTGAGGGTGTTCTTAGAAACAGAATGGAGAAATCCCACAAGAGGTCTTTGTGGGCAGCTTTGGGTAATATGTTCTCCAGTCTGAAACAACTGTACTTGGGTCATCACTTATCTTCAAATTATGGAGCAGATGGTTGCAACATCCATGTCCTGTCTGGATTCAGCGGAGCAATATAAATTCTCATCAAGGGTGGTCAAAGCTGTTGGGTCAGTAAAGCGTTGTTGTCTTTTTTAACGCTGTATTTGTTCCAGGGTTCTGTCCATTTTGATCGTGTATTGATACCATGAGTAGCATCTTTCCCATGGCCTTCATGCAGGGCCTGAGATGATAGAGTACATCGATTCACAATTTTTACTGCCTATGAAGAAAAGGGTCATGAGCACACAAGATGTCACCACCTTCAAGTTCCCTCAAGGCATTATCATCCTGATTTGGAACTATGGTTTCATGGTTCTTTCACTGTTCTTTCGTGGTTGCAGATCCAAAATTCTGGAACTTCCTACCTAACAGCACTGTAAGGGAGCCTTCTCCAGGCTGACTGTAGCAGTTCAAGAATGCTGCCTTTTCAAGATCAATAATGCTGGCATATTGCCAGAGATGCTTATATCCCATGAAAGATTAAAATACAAAAGACCTGGAGGATGGTTGGAAAGTTGAGAAGGATAAATGGCTAGCAGAGATGGAGTAAAACTATGGTTAACTAACCATAACTATGGGTAAAAAAAGTGTTCCTTCAAAATTTTTAGCTGCTCCCCAATTCACCTAGAAATAATGAGCTTGCTATGACATTTCAGTGGGCAATTAAAAGCCAGAAACATTGTATTTAGGCCAGATCAAATTTCCTTTCCTAAAAGGCATTTTTTTCAGTGACAAGCGGCAGTGGTTAACGAGTCACCATTCAGTTAGCTTTCAAGTTCAGATTTGTCACTGGATTCAAATTTCACTACCTACCATGGTGGGATTCAGAACATTGAAGCCTGGGGTTCTGGAATACCAACCCAGCAAGGTTTCCACTATGTCACCCACCTCCTTCCATTTAATCGTGAATGTTCTCTTACACATGGAGTAGCATGAAAAGTCAGAGGACTAAAATAGTTCAACTATAAAAGAACATGAATAAAACAATTTTTTAAAAAAAATTGGAAATAATATGAATCAGATAAAAGGGAAATGGTGAGTTTTCCTCAAACATTATAACATAAGTAATAACAAAAACAGAAATTGCTGGAGAACGTCAGCAGGTCTGACAGCATCTGTGCAGAGAAAGTAGAGTCAAGATTTCAGGTCCAGTGACCCTTCTTCAGAAGGGAACTTCTTATCTAACAGCACTGTAGGGGAGTCTTTACCACACTAACTGCAATATTTAAGAAGGCTGTCTTCTTAACAGCAATAAATGCTGGCAATTTATTTATTTACCATAAATAATAAGTTTTGCCAATCCATCTGTACTTCACTGTCAGTGTAATTCTTTCCGAAATTTATCATGCACACTTAATTCAAGAAACTTTGGCTGCAAATATGTACAAACTGCAGCCTCTCATTTGTTCTACCTTTCTCAATCAATATACACACACATACATTTCTCCTGTTTCATATATTCATTACAAACTTAACCTGAATCAAATCTTTAGAATGTGTGCTTTGGCTATATTTCAAACAAAATTGGAAACAACCAAATATATTCAAGTCTGAGAAGCATTGTATTATTTGCTTAATGAAAAGCTGCAAACATACACATTTCACACACCACATACTTTCAGATTGCAGGATATGCCTTCAGAAAACAGTTACCATTCTGGTAAAAATTATGAAGTCCAAACCTCAACTGTTAGGAGGCTGTTAAACCTTCATGGAAAATCTTAACATACAAAATCAAAGTGGACAAAGTCTAATTCAGTCATATTTGGATTTTTTTTTTAATTTTAATGCTTTGATTAAGACCTTTCTTTGACAGCAGTAGTTTCAGCTAGAGGAAAAAATGCAAATTTCCTAAAATAATTTTAGTGGTGTGGTGTGGTTAGTTAGTCAATAAAATATGACAGTGAAACTTGAAATTTTGTTACAGGGTTAGCCCATTAGGTGTTTACTTTGGCATTTCCATTATAGACTCAGATAAAAAGCATGACTTAAAAGTAACAGCATTAGAAAGTAAGGCTCTTGCCAGCAAGATTATACATTGAAGCTTTTAATTCATAACTAGACATGGTAGGTATCTTGTATTGAATTGATTTTAAGGCTTTACTCTTTGTACTTACTGCAATGACATCCATATGAATGTCATTTACCACTTCCTAAAGGAAATGATCACCTATTTCTCCAGTCCCCTACAACAAAATACAATACAAAACTGATGCATGATAAACTGGCATTTACTGCAGTTTATCTCTTAATTCAAAGTTGTTTAATTCAAATATTGGCTAAGTTAAATGTGCAGCCTTAAATTCACATTTTGCTATGGTATTTATATTGTCCAATTCAACCTATTAAATAATACAAATATTAATAAAGGAATGGTCAATGCGTATAATATTCTACAATAATTACTTTCTACAATATGTGACATTATCATTTTTTAACTATATGCCCTTACTTCTGGAGCAGACCATCATTTTGAGAGGGTTGAATAAATGAGTCAGGAGTTCTTGAAGATTCTTTGCTGCATCAATGACTATTTGAGCATCTGAGTTATTTCCAAAACAACCTGAATTGTACTTACGGCAGTTCCTCTCATCTGAAGTTCCATTATCATGGCAGTCATTCACCCCATTGCAGACATAGCTATTGCTAATACATCTTCCATTATGACAGGTGAATTCTGTAGTGGGATTGCAAGTAGGGAACAAGCAGCCAACCTCATCACTGTTGTCTCCACAGTCATTGTAATGGTCACAGCGATACCTATATAGTGTGCACCGGCCATTTCCACAAGTGAAAGCAGATGGTGAACAGGTATGAAAAGCTACAGAAAGAGCAGAGATACCAAAACTAAAACAATATGGTACAAAAAAAGGTTTTTAAATGTTGTTTTAACAATTCTCCGTTATGCAAGAAAAATTTTGTTGCATTACCTTCCATAAATACAAGTGCTTCCAAATACGCTGCATGTAAAATAGAATAAAATGGTTTGTTTTGGCTTTATTATTTTCTTAATTTGAAATCTAATTACAAACCTCAATGTGATTTATAGCCTGTCAATTTCCTGTTCCTCTCCCTTCCTTGGGCATTTATTTGCTTGACAGTAATCGCAGGATGAATAGCTAGCTAATCTGTTTTGCATGGCATTAGCCAGTGTACTCTGAGAAATCCCTGCTATTCTCAGAAACATATGGGATCTGTTAACATCCACCTGTACAAACTAGCAGGGCCTTGAATTCATATACCTTACACAGAAAATATTTCTAACAAAGTAGCACGTTCTCAGTACTGAACTGCAATTTTAGTCTAGATGGTGTCCTGAATCCCTGGAGGGGTGCTTAAACTGATAACCTAGAGTCAAAATGCTACATAAAAAACTAAAATGACCCTGTGGGAAGCTTGATCTATGACATCATTTCACCGTGTATCAACAATAAAAAAATTAAATCTTTACACTATTATTTATAATTAATGAGGAAATATAAATAAGTTAACTTTTTTCGGTAAACCACGTAACGAATAAGTCCATGTGCAATATGTTCCTATGTGGACTGCATGAAAAATAAAACAAAATTATATTTCCATGTATTTTGTTCTTTTTTATATCATACTTTATTTACCATATCCAATGTCAACCAGAAAAGCAGGCAATTTCTGCAGAACTGCTAAGGCTTTACATTTGATTCTGCATATTTGAGATTTTGAGAACTCATTGCACGTGTTTCTAAAACTGGTTCCTTCATTTTAACAGAAAAATTGTAGCCTCTGGACTTAAATCCTACATGTTCTACAGTCAAACAGTGTTACAACCCCCATAGGAAACTGTCTCACATTGCAATTGGGATCAGGTGCAATGTGACTTTGCTATTTTTAATAAATTAGTCTGTGGGATTATTTGGGATCTTTTAAAGGTTTACTCAAGATGTTAAACCTTAGTCAAAGGGTCAATAATGAGGGGGAATAATTTCAAAGCAAAAAACAGGAAGTTTAGAGGGGAGATGAAGAAGACATTTTTACCCAGAGGGTGGTGGGGGTCTGGAATGTGCTGTTTGCAAGAATACTGTTTGGGAGGGTAGTTAAGACAGGAAACCACACGACTTTTAAAAAGTACTTTGATGAGCACTTGAAGTGTCATAACATTCAAGTCTATGGCCCTAGTGTGGAAAAGCGGCACTAGAGTGTGTAGTAATACATTTTTGACATTATAAACTCGATGGGCCAAAGGACCTCTTCTGTGCTGTATGATTCTATGATTCTATGAACGATAGCAGGTTACATGAAATAAAATCGATCAAATGCAAACAAACCATTTTGCACAATTCAATTTTACCAATTTTAAAATCCTGCATAATTACAGGAAAAGTTGAATGTACTATACAGAGACAACTTGCATTTCTTACATGATGACTTGAATTCAGTAATTCACAGAGGAGGGGTGGAATGTGTAGGGAGAGGAGGGGTCATCAAATAGGGTGCCATAGCAGTAGCACTAGCTTAAATAGTTCATTGGTTAATGGGTACTCAAAAAAAAAGCATGTTGGTCAGAGAGGAGGCAGACATATGTAATATTGCATTTTATAAATAAATCCAGTTTTGTACTTCACTATCTTGTTTCAAAATGATTTATCACACCATACTTGCATTCAACTAAGCTCCTTCACATCTTTCTTCCTTGTGCAGTGTCAGTAGTGGCCTATGCTTGCATGCTGGATTACCCCCAGAGGAGCTGGAAACACTATCCATAGCTTAAAATGCAGCCGATTAAGTTTCCAATATAACTAATGCAACATAGCAAAATGGAGAAAGGGGGAATGGAGGAGCTCGTCAAAAACCACAAAATATTCACAAAATAGAAGCATCTCGCAAAAAGGAATGCTTTTACCAGTTATGAACTAAAATAAGGCTGGTTCAAATGTCCATTTGCTACTTATGACTTCAAAGAAGGTATTTTACACAAGTTCCATTTCTATTCTATGTCACTGGACACTGAAAATGAATCATTTTCAAAATCAAGTTTATTGCCACTATGATATATTTTGATAATGATGTTGATAACAATGATAAAGATAGATTTTGTATATTATAGAAAGGAACTTACCACATACTCTCTCTGTTTCATCACTTTGATCTCCACAATCATTGTCAGTGTCACATTTCCACCTTTCTGGGATACAACGTCCATTCAAACAAGTAAAGTAGCCAGTGGCACATGTAGTAGCATCAGATGAAACACAATCTTTATTGTTATTAACCAGGCGCCAATTTCCATGAGCAGGGCATTGGCATTCTGCACCCTCAGGCCCTATAGCATAATGGCAATATAAAAATATGCACAGTATTAATACTCAGTAATCAAACTGATAAACAAATCTATAAAAGCGTACTTTACATGACATGTAAACAACATGCTACCATTGAGATTGGAATAATACTATGGACTCTAATTATCAATGCAATTTAAATAGTTACTATACATCTCTCAGCTCTAATCTTCCCAATGTATAGCACATTTAGATAGCTGGATAGCTCTGCAATCCTGCTACATCCAGTAGTGAATGGTGTTGTACCATTAGTCAAGTAACTGGTGGTGGAGGCTCTACCAATATTCCCATCCTAAACATTGGGGAGCTCAGCGCATCTGTGCAAAAGACAAGGCTGAAATACTTGCAAATATCTCCAGTGAATGAATAACTTTGCTTGTTCCTCAGGTCCTCAATATCACTGATGCCAATTTCAACTAATTTGACTCATTCCACATGACATCATGGAACAGCTAAAGGAACTGGATACTGCAAAGGGTATGACCTGACAACATTCCAGCAATAACACGGAAGACTTGTGCTCCAGATCTAGTTGTGTCCCTAGCTAAGCTGTTCCAGTACAGTGACAACACAGACATCTATGTGCAAAATTTCCCAGAAATGTTCTGTATACAAAAGCAGGACAAATCCAACGCAGCTGATTAGCGCCCCTTTAGTCTCCTCTCCAGTGAAATGATGGAAGGGCTCATCAGCAGTTTTATCAAGCAGCACTGGCAAAGAAATGACCTGCTCACTGCCACTCAGGTTCAGCTCTATCAGGGTCATTTAGCTCCTGACCATATTATAGCTTTGGTCCAAACATGGACAAGATAACTCAATTTCAGAGGTGAGGTAAGACTGACTGTCCTTTGCAACTAGGCAACATTTAATCAAGTTAAGCATCAAGGAACCTTAGCAAAACTGCAATCAATGGGCATTGAGAGGGAACTGGTTGGATCAACCTAGTACAAAGAAAGATGGTTGTAGCTTTTGTGCAATCGTCTCAGTCTCACAATATCATTGGAGGAAATCCAGCCATCTTAGTTGCTTTATAAATGATCTTTCCTCCAACGTATGGTCAGAAGTGGGAATGCACGCTGCTGACTACACAGTGTTCAACACCATTCGGAACTCCTCAGATGCTGAAGCAGTTCATTTACATATGCAGTCACCTGGACAACATCCAAGTCAGTGTGATAAGTGATAACTAATATTTGCACCACACAAACATCAATTTCCACCAAGACAAAATTTAACTATCGCTCATTGGCATTCAGCAGAATTGCTGTCAACTGAACCCACACTAACAACATTCTGGTGAACACCACTGACCAGAAACTGAACTGGACCAGCCATATAAATACTGTGGCAACAAAAACAAGTCAGAGGGTTGGAATCCTTTCAATGAGTAATTCACTTCCCATAGCCTGCCCACTATGTACAAAGCACAAATCAGGATGAAAGATGGGGCAAATATTTCTCTAGTGATTAAACTAGACTATTGAGACTAACCATATCAGGAAGCATGTTTCCACACAAAGATCATTTCTTTTTTCAACCAAAGTCTTCAGTAATTGAAATTTACACCATGATCAATAGATTTTCTTTAGGCAAGAGAATCAAAGGATATATAGACAAAAGATTGATAAATGGAGTTCAGAACATCCATATCTAATTAAATGGTGGAATATGTTCATGAAGCTAAGAAATGGTTTGCTTCTGTTCATAGCTTTTGTTCTTATGTATATAAGGTGCGTTCTCAAAAGAAAGGTGTAAAAATATTAAGAAATTAATTTTTTGTCCAATTATTTAAATATTATAGGTAGACATTGTTAATACCTGGAGTACAAATGTGACTGCAACCACCATTAAATTGATCACATGGATTATTGCAATGTTGCTGCTTGTTCTCAGACATGACATGAATATCCATCGGACGATGTGGGAGGTTTTGTATCATCACAGTCTGGTCAGACCCATCATGTTTATTGACCCGGTAGATGCTTTTAGTGCTCCAGTCTGTCCAGTAGAGATAGTCATCATACAGGGTCACTGCGAATGGGTAAATTGCAGTGCTAACAATCACCTCACGGTTTGTACCTGTAAGACTACACCGTTCAATCTTCCGTCTGAAACAGAATAAATTAAATGTTGCAGCAGATATTAATTACTGGAAAATAACATTAATTTCAGAACCACAGAGCAAGGGTTAAAATCTCAAATTATCACAATGAATAGGAATTTGTAAAACAAAAAGCTTTTCTGTGATTGCATTTATTGCAATTCAAAACAATACTATAAAATTATCCCAGAGACAGTAGGAACTGCAGATGCTGGAGAATCTGAGATAACAAGGTGTAGAGCTGGATGAACATAGCAGGCCAAGGAGCATCAGAGGAGCAGGAAAGCTGACGTTTCGGGCCTAGACCCTTCTTCAGAAAAAGGGAGTTTGTCTGTTCAGATAGCACTTACCTAACCCTTTATTACCTCAATCCTTCCACCACCTTTCTAATGTCAGGTAAATTGTACAACATACAAGAGCTGATTTTTCTGAATAAGGGTCTAGGCCCGTAACGTCAGCTTTCCTGGTCCTCTGATGCTGCTTGGCCTGCTGTGTTCATCCAGCTCTACATCTTCTTATCTATAAAATTATCCGGTCAGTTCTAGCCAGCATGCCTCAAGCAATGACTTATTTTCTTGTATCCATGCTATTACCAATGAAGTCCGCAAGGATTTAACCTCAACCACTTCTCATTCTCAGGTACATTGTACCCTTGGTAATTTTATGGCGAGACATACACTGAAGTTTGTCTGTTCAGATAGCACTTACCTAACCCTTTATTACCACGATCCTTCCACCACCTTTCTAATGTCAGATAAATTGTACAATATACAAGAGCTGATTTTAACTCTGAGCTAGTTTCACGCTGGTGTGAAAAACAGGGAGTGTGAAATGTACTCACTGAACTCAAATTTCAGCCCCCACATATCGAAACTCTTGACCTTATTTCGCATTGCTAGTCAGCTGTTTACTTGAATGTTGCAGTTGGCCTGAAGAGTTGTGTGACAGCCCATCAGTTGCCATTGAAAGGAAGGTTTACCAGCAAGGAAGTAATTCACAGGATAACTATTCTGGGAGGCCTTATATGAAGGAAGGATTGGAAAGGTATCCAGATCATGGAATTGCCCATCAACTGTTCTTTCTCTGCTTGAAATAATAGTGGGATCCATCATTATCTTAAAATGAAAGAGCTCCAAGGAATGAGAGTATTCATCACTATGGCTGTACTTTGGTGCTCACACAGCAGCTGAGCATTTGAAAATTAGATCCTTTCCTGGTTCATATGAGGCACAACACATTAGGTACAGTGGTCTGAGGGACAATGTTGAAGCAATTAATATAACCCTGTTTGGCTGTCCAAATGGGTTATTCTTATTCGTGAACTACATGTTCTTAAATTGACAATCTTGTTTAATGGGATAACAACAAAGGATGTTGTAGTAATGGAGATTTAAGTTTGAAACTTTTGCAGTGAATGTTATTTTTACACGTTTGCAGCAAAAGCACAATGTTAAAACGAAGTTGTAGAATGAGATAATTTGATGCTGTGCATCTGATTTAGTACATAATAAATATTTGAAAAATTATAGGTACACCCAAATTACATTTTAACTCCTTCATACAAGCCTACTAGTGGCAGGAAATCAATAAACATTGCAATAAACATACAGAGAGCCATCAGCCCAGTAGAGTTTCTGATCTTCATAGTCCATTGTCAGTCCATTTGGCCACACTAAACTGGTATTTATAATGGGTATACGAAAGCTTCCTCCAAGTGTTGCTCGTTCTATTTTAGGACTAGTTCCCCAATCAGTCCAATACATATACCTGTTAGAAAAACATATCAATCAAGGAAATTTTTAATATTCTATACTATGTGCATACTGCTATTTTAATACAAAGTAAAAGTCTCAAGGGAAATTTTCCTAGTCCAAGCTTGAGTGGAGCACATTATCAACAAACTGGGTAGCTTGGAGTTTAAACATGAAAAGTAATTGGCTTAAGTTTCTTTCATTAGATTAATGAAGGAAAATCAGGCAAGCTGCTTTGCATAATACATCTGATACATGCTGCTTTAGAAAATACATCCATTTATTTCTCTTTTCTCTTTCTATTTAACTCTTTTGCTCCCAATCCCAGGAATCAAACCTGTAGATGCATTGTGTCGCAACTCATCTGCTCCTGTTTACCATTGACTAACCCTTGTTTCTCCCCTGTTTGAAGATCCATCCGATAACTCAAACTTCACAGTTCAAGACTGAGTACTCTCATCCTCAAGTACCAGCACAGAAATTAGCTATCTATGTGACACATACATTGAGTTAGTGAGGCCGCTACATGATATGCCATTAAACACATTCAGCATGAACAGTTAAAATTGGAAAGCATTGCCCAGGAAACAGTTCATGATAGATTAGAGTTGAGTTCATCCTTGAAGAAGTAGACAGAGGTGCAGACTTTAGGGGTGGGATGGGGGGTAAGCTGTTACACACTGGTTAGTCTAGCTTTGGAAAAATTCCTGAGTCTTTGGCATGTTCAGACAACAACTGGTTTATTACATACTAAGGAACTTTATACAGTTCCACATGACCAGATCTTACAATGCTGAAGCCATAATTACGCTCCCTACATGTCCTTCCATCATGTGATCTCCTACCTTACCATTGTGGGTGGTGTTAATGACATAGTCCCACATCACCATTATGCTTCAGGGATGAGACTTTAAAGGAAGGTTATGTTAAATAATCGCACCAAGAATTGCTCAAAACAGTAATTGATTATCAGTGAACCTGTGTTACATGCAGCAAAATCCATGACTGACAAGTGTGTGGTTCTGCTGCACAGTTCATCAACCACGTGCTGTTTAATCACCTTGGGGAGTGCAGACTCTTCCAAGGGCCTGTGTCACAACTGAAAGCATCACTGAGATATTTGTATCCGGGCCATGCATACTCTGGACCGCATCACTTCCTCTGCATGTTGTCAGATATGGATCAAATGGGTGGTGGTTTCAAGCTGTATCCAAGATCTCCTACGATCTTCCCTTCTGCAGATCAGTGGAGCATGGGATTGGAACTGTTGCTCTCTCTCAGACTGCATCATATTTAGACTCTGCCCCTTAAGGGCTACCAATTACTGGCCTCAAAAGCCTTTGCTTATGCCTCAGCAACTTCCTACTTTGTAGTAGCTGAGATAGTAATTCATAGGAGCACAAGGAAAGGTGGGAATACTCAAGAAAGACACAGGGCTCCAAATAAGGTTATCATTGTCCAGCATTTGTTTAAAGCTGTAAAATATTACTAATAATTTTTTGAAATCTTTATTTGCAGGGTGTTCTTGCACTAGCTGGTGGTCTCGCAGTGTTAGTTAGCATGATATTCAATACTGATCTTTGACTAAATGCGAATTATTTAAGGGTGGAAAATCCAAGACACATGCTCATTCAGCTGATTTATTCTTTAGTAGGTTGTTGTTGAAGTTCTCTTACTTCCCCATTATTTTCTATGTTTGTATTGCCTTTTCCTTCCTCAATGTGAAGGTCCTCATTCAATGGTAGCTTCATGTGTTGTCTCGACTAGATAGCAAATATTTTCTGCAAACAACAAATCACTATTGTAAGAGTCATATTTTGTGATCTATCTTAAAGAAAGCCACCAGGCTTGTTTAGACAACAGAATAAATTCAGAACTTTGAGGATCTACTCAATTAGGTCCCATGAGCCTGACTGTAGCACAGATATGTACAAAGAGGTTCACAGAGGAGTTATAAACCAAGCGTACAGATGATACTTATTGTCTCCAAGTAGCGTGCCTCTCACTTTCTGTGAAAGGGCCAAAGTGAGATATAGAGGATTTCTATAAAATAAAAACATTATGACAGCTGCTATGAAAACGACAGAAAAGAAAACATAAGCTGCTGTAAAAACTCAGCATATCCGGCAGCATGAGTGGAGAGAAACCAGAGTTAACGTTTTGGGTCCAATGTCCCTTCCTCAGAACTATTCAGAAAGTGACTACATATTTGCATCAAGGGCTGCCGTGTGATCACACCCAATTTGTTTTTCATTTTTATATTCTTTCTCTTTTATGTCTGCAGAGTGGTGGGTGAAGAAGAAGGCCTCTAGTGGGAGTAGAAGTAGCAGCAAGCCAGACACAGCTCCACTCCAGCCTGGGGTCTCCCAATGATCTAGGAGCAAGTCCCGGGCTGACTCCCCCAGGCTAGGCTGAGGATCAAGGTCTGATGCTAGGCCCGGTGCCTGAAGGAGGGGAAGTGGCATTCTCAACACAGCGTGGTGGTCACCCGTGAGGCAGTCTTGTTCCAGCGTGGCGGTCTTGTCCCGGTGTGGACGTCTCATCCCTGTGCGGAGGTCTTCTTTGTCTTCGGCTTCCAGGTGTTCCAGCGGCCTGGCAGGTGGTTTCATCCAGGAGTGGCAGTCTCGGCCCGACATGATAGTCTTCTTCAGCACAGGCTTTCGACCCAGTATTCCAGCAGCCCGTCATGGCTATCTTTTCCTATAATGGCAATCTTGCCCTGGAATGGAGGTCTCGTCCCAGCCACATCTTCAGGCTACTCTATTGTTCCTTAATCGGCTTTTCCCGAGCCCAGGAGCCGTTAAGTAAACTGTGATGAACTTTGCCTTAATTTTACTCCTTTTTATTGTTATGCATGACTTCTGTCCTTGATATAGGCACCGTGGTGAGGGCGACTTAAACTTTTCACTATATTTTTCACATAAAAGGGCTCGTGACAATAAATTTTTATTCTATTCTATACACTAACAGAATGAATGTTTTAGGTACAAAAGGTCCTGTAAAAGGAACCTGAGGTAATATAGAAATAGGCAATGTTGGAAATGTTGCAATCTGTGCAAGTTTCAAAGCCTAACCCTACAAATTCCAGATGCTCCTGGGGAAGGTTTTGGAAGTGTTCACTGAAGCAAACATGACAGTCATCTATTTAATGCAGACTACCATGTTGCTGTTCAATATCATATATGACAGCCAGGAAGATGCTCAAGGAAAAGAAGTCCAGGACTGTACTGATCAGGCCAAAATGGGAGCAAGAGGCAAACCTTGTTGCAGGAACTGACGCAACTCTGTGAAAAGTTCCTTTGTGCAAAGTCATTATGCTGTTGATCAAAAAAGCACAGGTAGGTTATTGTTACCCTCTCGACTGTATTTGGAGCACAAATGATTCCTAAAAGTAAACCTTCTATTTCCTCCTCTTGCAGCTGTTGTTCTGTTTTGCTGTGTCCTCACTGTGCCCCTCTTCACAGCAAAGGATTATCAGACAAACTTTCATAAAGATAAAAATGCATTGCCAGAAGTCTTTTAAGGATTCTGGAGATTTTACAGACACCTTAAGTTTAAACAGACAAAAGCCAGTGTGTAGTACAAGCAAAAAGACTTGCATGTGTTATGAAATTCCAGGATTTTAATTGACAGCACTAACAATGCCTTTAAATATTATAAAGCTTCATCTCCACCTTCATTCCACATGGTGGGCAGCTTGAGGAGCTAGCAGTAACAACAGGGTCAAAAATGGCTTTGAGCTGTTGACAAGATCTTGCAGCCCCAATTTGTACATATTCATTAAGCCCCTTTACCTCAGTCCAAACATTTTCAAGTAGGAGCACTAACTACTTAAATCGAGGTCAATCCAAAAACTAGATTAGGTGGATGACTAGCAGTAAGCCAGCAGTTTTTCTTTTGTTCTATCATCCTGTTTTCACTTGCTAATGGAGAGTGTGACAAAAATCAACCTTGTTGTTCCATCATACAAGGCTGATGGTCTAATTATCCAACCAGAAGGTAAAGTTCACAAATTCGCAAACAGCAGCTGTCAGGCAGCAGAAAAGACCTCACTGTCCCCTTTTCCCTATTTATGCTAGTTAATAAAACTGGCTGAACATGATTCTGCTCATCTTTTCCATTATAAATATTAAGAGTTCAAAAGATCCAGCCTATTAGTAAATTCCTAAATATCACTAGTCAACAGCAACTAAATTTGCTTTCTCATCATAGCAATCTTTCAGCATTGTTTGATATCTGGTCATTGACTCTGTCTAGTTCAGGTCATCCTACTCAGTCCTGTAACATATTGTGTAATTACATTGGCCTCTATTCAGTTCTGCTTGCATGGATGTCTAATAGAATATTTGTACTTGGCGCTGGATGGAAGCCATTGGAATTTGCCTGGAAACTAATTTCATTAATGATCAAAAAGTTAAGAAGATACTAAGATAGTTTGTGACATGACCTGAATAATAATGTGTCAGTTTCAATCTGCAGTTTGACAAAGCTTACCCTCTGCAAGGATCCAGTACAATAGCTCTTGGCCTCGGAACATTTGCAATGATTGACTGATCGGTGCCATCCACTTTTATGGAGCTGATTGTTTGATTCAAATAATCACTATAATAAATCCTCTTGTTAATCCAATCATAGGCAATTCCATCAGGAGCATCCAAGCCTTGGAATAAATATTTGTTATATATTACTTAATGGTTTAAAATTTCTAAACTACTGATGTACAAAGGCAAAAAGCAAACTTTTGACTATGAACCAGTACTAATGAAGACTCAAATCATGCATTCTGAGAGGTCATTTAAAATCTCTTAAGTAATAGTAAGCAATTCTAGTAACAATGCATAGAGTAACTAATTACATCAGATGTTTGACGTTTATTTCTGGACAGAATTCAGTGGGTATGTAATTCCAGCTTCAAAATTCATATAATGAAATCCAGAAAAACATTGAATCAAAAAGTCATAAGGCTCAATTTTACATTATTACTGGAATCAATCATATTGATAGAATTCTGCTTACTGTGATAGGAAGCTCCATTTTTTGCTTCATTGAGAATATAATTTACAATAATGGTTTGTCCATAATCAATTTTAACTATAACAGACTGATAACAAAAATGGTTGTTAACAACTCTGGATTCTACATTCTATTATAGATACAATAATAGCAATTTGCATTTACAACAATGTAGATAAATGTCCTAAGGTGCTTCATAGAAACTGATAAAAATGAATGCAAACAGCACTTAGCTATAGAAAAAGTGATTGAAAGGGGTGACAGAATGAATGGTAGGGTTTAGGGAAAGAACTCCAGTTGAAGGCTTAATCATCAATTGTAGGGCAAAGGGACAGTAGATGTAAGGAAATACAGGCCTATAGAATTAAGCATTCAAGAAGCTTTTTTTCAAGCAATAAGTTTGCTGATGCTTAGGTGCTGATGTGGAATCTTGCACTCAGTTTTAGTCTGGTATAATTAACAGTCATATTATTATGTATAAAGAGATTGTTGTATTTACCTGATATCACCTGTGTAGGAGAAGCAGAAACATTGTCAAGACTGATGTAGCTGATTATGCTGCGCCCTCGGCCAAAACTTTGTGTAAAATAAATTCTGTTGTCACTGCTGTCATAGTCAAGTGCCACTGCAGTCCACCATACATTCACTGTTGCGAAGGGCCGTGTATGGTCAGCTGTATCGAAGTGAAGACTCTGAATGGAACCTTCTGTTGCATATATCAAATAATCATTAGTGACGATCATACAATGTTTCCCATCAGCAGCCAACCTACCATGGGCACACCCACATTTTGGCACTTGCAAATCAGGCAATGCGAAACAAAATTGGGCACATTCTCCATTAGAATCCAAGCAAGGGTTATTGTTAACTTGCTGGGTAGATGTTGGTTGAATCCTTTTATCAAACATTACCACATCCCTTAACAAATTCAAATTGTCCCGGATAACAGAAGGTTGTTCCATGTTTCCAGGTTCTTTACTTGCACGTAAAATCTTCTTCAAGTTTCTATCCACCCAAATCATACTGTTTTCAAAGATAGTGATTCCAAATGGGGTTGGATACCGACTGCCATAACGAATTATCTCATGTTCAGCACCATCAGGTGAGATCCTCGCAATCAGGTCGAGGGCGTCATCAACCCAGTAGATGTAATTATTTGTGTGGTCAACAGCTAGACCTCGTGGCGTGACAATACCATCATCCACTAAGACAGTTCTGTTAGAGCCATCAAGAAAAGCCCGCTCAATTTTAGGATTCTGACCATAATCAGCCCAGAAGATATACCGGATCGTTGGATTTACTACAATATGTCTTGGCCGATCCACTGATGTTTTCATGAGAACTCGACGAAAAGTGGTATTCAAACGGAGAATTTCAATAAATGTCTCAGTTTGGAAAGCGTTTGTGAAATAGAGATTGCCTGTATTACGTAAAAAAAGAAACATATATCATATATTCTAAAGGATAAATAGCTGGTTCTATGAAACCTATAAGCTTTGGGTTCAATTGCAGACTAGAATCAGTCTGCACTGCTGAATTATTCTGGGGTTCAGTACACTCATCACAGAGATATAAATCCAAGTCACTTACAAATTAAATCATTGAGTGATTCTAATATCATCATTCATTCCTGATCATTTTAACTATTTTGTATAATACAAAGTTTATTTTTATTTTCTTTTTGAAATATAGCACAGGCTAAATTTGAATCATGATGTTCAACTGAAAAAGGTACTTATTATGAAGTAAAATAGCTGTATATCACCAAGGATGAGACATCAAACACCAACAGTAACATGTACACTAGACTATTGTTAAACTACACTTTCTGGTCAGAAGAGTATAATGTTGAGTCAGCATACCTGAGCTATATTAGTATCTGCATGCATGCATGCAGCTTCCCTTTTGCAGACAACTAATTCCTAGTATTGTTGAATTAAAAAAAAAGAGACATCGTCAAAGCTTTTTGTCTTGCAATCCTCAAGGCAGACAGAAGAATACCAATCGAAGGTTATTATTAGGGATTGCAGTATGGCTCACTTACACTCGCAACAGGCTAAATATTTTCATTATGCAGGCATTACATCTTTTGCAGTTAAACAGAACTTTATGGGGCAACTCCCCCAAGTTGATGTCCCAAACAACCAAACGCTGCTGGCAAACTAATTAGTGCCATTTTTTGCACGCTGAGTAAATTATTGCTTTGAAATCTGGCATTCTTGCATCTGTCCTGATGAGTGCAAGATAAAACACTAACTGCATTTGTCTTTTTTAACACTGCTCAGATTCTGTACTATCAAGTGACTAACAATTCTTAGTATTGCATTAAGAAAGCTTTAATCTTAACAGCAAACCTGACAGTTTAGGCACTTTTAAAATGCTTCGTGCTAGGTGTTAAACTATACTAATTGTGAAATACACACATCATGACAGTTATCTCCAAAAGGTAGACTCACGCCTCTCCTGTCAGTTTTAGCAGTGATGGTAACGTAAGAATATTTAGTTTATATGGAAGGGTTTCTACAATTACAAGATGGTGAAGGAAATCCAATAAAAGCTTGATCAAAAATAGAGAAAGCAAATTCAAAACCTGAATTTTGATACTTGGTGTTTTGCAAATATCATTATTGGGAGAAATAAGAAAATAACAATGAGATAGGACCATAGATCACAGAAATTCGATCTGGAGATGATACACAGCCAAAGGGAAACTTGATTTATCTATAACTACAGTGAATACTTATCTATAACTACAGTATTTAATACTGTTCAAAGATGTAACAGGATTTTATACTGGAAAGGCTGTGAAATAGTTTCCTTCAGGTTTTCATCTATTTATTAAGGCCAGAACTCATTAATAATTAATATGTTGTTACATTAGCAAAAGTTTGACCAAAATATTAGCATGTATCAACAGATTTTAGATTTCTCTTATTTTGCAGATGTTCAAATTATTTTCTTCTTATTTACAAAAATAAGATATTGTTTGCAACAAACAAATCATGTTCTCCGAGTAACAGTCCAAGATTAATGGAGTCTGTTCTCAACTATGTTAAAGCATTTAACACTGAAGTGATCTTCCCAACTCATATTTATGCACTCACTAAGATTGCCTATTTCCATATTCACAGAATTGTCTGATTTCACTCCTGTCACAGCTCATCTGCCAGTAATATCCTTATTTATGCCTCTGTTATCTTTGTTCTAACTCGCCCATAGCTAGTATTCCACATTCTACCCTCCAGAAACTTCAGGTTATCAAAATCTGATGCCCATAGCTTAACACATTGCAAGTCCCATTCCGCTACCATCCCTGTGTCTACTGACCTTCATTCAGCTTCATGCCAAGCAGCATCTTGATTTTAAAATTCATATCATTTTCTTTAAATCTTCTGTGGCCTTGTCCCTCCCAATCTTTACAATCTCCAACAGCCCAGAGCTATCTGATATATCTGCACGCTCTAATTCTGATCTCCACAACCCTGTTCGTAATTGTGATCAGTAGCAGCCATACTTCAGTCGCCCAGATCCCAAGTTTTAGAATACCCTGACTATGATTCTCTACTTCTTTGTGCAGCTTTTGTCATTTAAGATGCTCCTTCAAATCTACCTTTTTAACTAAGCTCTTAGTCATTTGAGCTGATAGCCCGTTATTGCGCTGACTTACAATGCTCCTGTGAGGCATCTTGGGATGTATTCCATAAATCTGCCACATTAATATAGGAACAAAAACAAAGTTGCTGGAAAAGCTCAGGAGGTCTGGCAGCATCTGTGAAGGAAATAACAAAGTTAACGTTTCGGGTCCGGTTCCTCAGTTCTGAGGAAGGATCACCAGACCCGAAATGTTAACTCTTGTTCTTTCCTTCACAGATGCTGCCATATCTGCTGAGCTTTTCCAGCAACTTTGTTTTTGTTCCTGATTTACAACATCCGCAGTTCTTTTGCTTTTTATTTATATTAATATTATATTTATATTATTTACAGATTTCTTTTAATACAGCACACAAAAATTACAGGTGATTACCGTAAAGTTGGAAAATATAAAGTTCATCAGGCACTGACCTGCTACCCAATCTATTGCAATTCCTCGAATACCATTCTGACCAATTCCTGTAACTAGTACACTTTGGAAGGAAGATCCATCAGGTTTAATCCTCCGAATAGCATTCCTTGAAGCTGCTGTACTGAATTCACACCAGTAAATAAATCCCGATGCTATATGTACATCCACATGCAGGGCAAAGCGCACTAAAAGAAAAAATAAAAATATGACTTGTTTTAAATGCACAATTCCTGGTTTGGCAAAAGAAACAAAGAATCCCTGAGATGTGGGAGATCAAGGAGAAGTCAAATATCCCTGACACCAATGTTCGTAGGAAGTGTATCCACCTACAGCTCCTCTCAGACCACAAGGATCGGTTGGAGCAGCAGTTGGACTCTTTGAGGAGCATACAGGAGGCTAAGAGTTTTATCGATAGATGTTTCAGGGATATGGTCACATCAAAGGTTCAGCCAAATAAACGGGTGACCGTCAGGAGGGGCGGGCAGGCAGTACAGGATTCCCCTGGAATAATTCCCCTCTCAATGAAGTGTACAGTTTTAGACATTGTTTAGTGGGGGGATGGTCTCAGGGGAAAGCTACAACAACATCCAGATCAGTCGCACTATAACTGGCTCTATTGTACAGCAGGGAGGATCGAAGTGTAGGCGAGCAGTAGTGATAAGGGATTCTACAGTCAGGCGCACAGAGACGCATTTCTATGGCCGTGAGCGAGACTCCAGGATAGTGTTTTGCCTTCCTAGTGCTAAAGTCAAGAACGTCTCTGAACATTCTGCAAGGGGACAGTGAGCAGCCAGAGGCCATAGTCCATATTAGTGGTAATGACATAGGCAGGAAGCAAGGTGAGGTCCTGCAAAGGGAATTTAGCGAGTTAGGTAAGAAGTTGAAAAGCAGGATTGTAGGGTTGTAATCTTTGGATTATTCCCTCTGCCATGTGCTACTGAAGCTAGAAATAGGAAGATAATACTGTTGAATACATGGCTGAAAAGCTGGTGTAGGAGGGAGGGCTTCAGATATCTGGATCATTGGGCTCTCTTCCAGGGTAGTAGGAACCTGTACAAGAAGGATGGCTTGCACCTAAACTGGAGAGGCACCAATATCCTTGCAGGGACGTTTTTTAGTGCCACTTGGTTAAAACTAGAGTGGCAGGGGCTTGGGAACCAGAGCAGTAGGTCCACATATGCAGTGATTGAGAAGAAAGTAGAGGTTAAGTCAAGTAAGTCTAATAGGAAGAACTGATAGGGCCAATTTAATGAACACAGTAAGACTGGTGGTCTGGAGTATACTTATTTTGATGCAAGCAGTATAGCCAGTAAGGCAGATAAGCTTAGAGACTGGATTAGGACATGGAACTACAATGTTATAGCCATTAAAGAAACTTGGTTGAGAGAAGGGCAGGACCGTCAGGTCGACATTCCAGATTTTAGAGGTTTTAGAAATGATAGAAAGGAACGTAAAAGGGGTGGTGGAATTGCATTACTGTTTAAGGAGAATGTCACAGCTGCACTAAGAAAGGATGTCTTAGAGGCCTTATCCAGTGAAGCCATATGGGTAGAACTGAGGAATAAGAAAGATGCAATCACTATGTTGGTGTTATAGTATAGGTGTCCCAATAGCCAGCGGCAGATAGAGGAACAGATATGTGGGCAAGTCACGGAAAGATGTACGTGTATAATTTTAACTTCCCCAATATTGACTGGGACTACCTTAGTGCCAAGGGTTTGGATGGGGCAGAATTTTGTTTGGTGAATCAAGGAGGGTTTCTTGCAAAAAACAAATGTCAATAGTCCAACTAGAAAAGGTGCTGTACTAGACCTTGTATAGAGACTGGTCAGGTGATTGAAGTTTCAGTGGAGGAGCATTTTGAAAACAGTAATCATAATTCTGAGTTTTAAAGTAGTTATGGATTGGATAAGACTGGTCCTTGGGTACAAGTTCTAAATTGGGGGAAGGCTAAATACAACAGTATTAGGTAGGAACTACAGAAATTAGGTTGGGGGCAGCTGTTTGAGGGCAAATCCACATCTGACATGTGGGAGTCTTTTAGTTGGTTGATTGACCAGAGCTTAGGACCAGCATGTTCCTGTGAGAATGAAAGTTAAGGATGGCAAGATTTGGGAATGCTGAATGCCAAGAGATATTGATAGTTTAGTCAAAAAATAAAAGGAAGCATATGTAAGATTTAGGAAACTGAAATCTGTCAAGGCCCTTGAGGAATATAAAGGAAGCAAGAAAGAACTTAAACAAGGAATTGGGAGGACTTAGAGGGGCCAAGAAATGCCCTGGGCGAGTAGGATTAAGGAGAATCCCGAAGCATTTTATACGTATATTAGCAGCAAGAGGGTATCTACAGAAAGGGTAGATCCATGCAAAGACAAAGGAGAAATTGAAGTGTAGAGCTAAAGGAAGTGGGTGGGATCTTTAATGAGTACTTTGCATCAATATTAACTGAGGGGAAAGATAATAATGGATGATAATAAGATTGGTGAGGTAGCCTGGATATGTTGATTTTCTAGGGCATGTCAATAGTAAGAAGGAGGTGGTATTGGGTGTCTTGAGAAACATTAACTACATTAAGATAAGTACCCAGGGCCTGATGGGATCTTTCCCAGGATACTGAAGGAAGCAGTGGAGGAGATTTGCGAAGTCTTGACAAAGATCTTTGTATCTCCTCTTTAGCCACTGGCTAGGCCCCAGGATACTGGAGAATAGCCAATGTTTTTCCCTTGTTTAAGAAGGGCAACAGGGATAATTCAGGGAAGTATAGGCCGGTGAGCCTTACCACAGCATTGGGAATTTACTGGAGAAGATTCTTATGGACAGGATTTATTTACTTTTAGAAAAGAATGGACTTATTAGGGATAGTCAGCATAGCTTTGCTTGGCAGAGGGTATTGTATTACAAATTTGATTGCGTTTTTGAGACAGTGACGAAGATGATTGATAAGAGTAGAACAGTGAATGTTGTCTACATGGACTTTATTAAGGCATTTAACAAGGTCCTTCATGGTAGGCTGGTCCACAACATTATATCACATGGGATCCACAGATAGTTGGTTAGTTGCCTACAAAATTAGCTTAGCCATAGAAGACGGAGGGTTGTTATACAGAGGAGTTTTCTCACTGGAGATTTGTGACCAATGGTATTCTGCAAGGATCAGTGCTGGGGCCTCTCTTGTTTGTAATATCTACAAATGATTTGGATGAAAATGTAGGTGATCCAATTGGTAAGTTTGCACATGACACAAAAATTGGTGGAGTTGAGGATAATGAGAATGGTTGTCAAATGGCACAGCAGGATATAGATCAATTGGAAAGTTGGGCGGAGAAATGGCAGATGGAATTTAATCCATACAAGTGTGAGGTGATGCATTTTGAGAGATCAAATGCAAGAAGAAAGTATGCAGCAAATGGCAGGACCCTTAGATGCATTTATATACAGAGGAATCTTGGGGTGCAAGTCCATTGCTCTCTGAAATTGGCAACATAATTGGATAAGGTGGTAAAGGAGATATATGGCATGATTGCCTTCATCAATCAGGATATTGAGTATAAAAGTTGGCAAGTCATGTTGCAGCTGTATAAAATTTTAGTGTGACTGCATTTGGAGTATTGTGTGCCATTCTGGTCCCCACATCATATGAAAGATGTGGAGGATTTGAAGAAGGTGCAAAAGAGTTTTACCAGGATGTTGCATGGATTGGAGTGTGTTAGCTGTAAGGAGAGATCGGACAAACTTGGATTGTTTTCACTACAGCCTCAGAGGCTGACAAGGGGTGACCTGATAGAGGTATACACAAATTACAACGGGCTTGGAGAGGGTGAATAATTGGAGTATTTTTCCCAGGATGAACATGTCAAATGTTAGGGGGCAGGGGTTTAATGTGAGCGGGAAGAAATTTAAAGAAATGCGCAAGGCAAGTTTTTTTTACACAGAGGATGGTAGATGCCTGGAACACGCTGTCAGGAGAGGTGGTAGAAGCAGATACAATAGCAGTGTTTAAGATGCATTTAGACAGACACATGCACAGGCAGATGGGATTAGTTTAGAATGGTATGACGGTCAGCAAAGACATGGTGAGGCAAAGGACCTGTTCCTGTGCTGTACTGTTCTATGATCTATGAAAACTCTGAATCGAAACTAACACATGAACTTTTGGAATGATTTGAGCTGGAAATCCAACCCAAATATCCTAAAATGAAAACAGAAATTGGTGGAGAAACTCAGCAGGTCTGACAGCATCTGAGGAGAGAAAACAGTTAACATTTTGAGCCTAGTAACACTTCTTGGGAAATATTTGGATGTTACTTAATTTTTAAACACCTGAAATATTCAGAGCTGTAAATGTAACAGATTCATTAATGTTTTATTTGGGGTTTTCAAGCAGATGGTGTTCATAGCCATTTATCATTAAATCCTTGATAGGAATTTAATTTGAGATTTTCTTTTGTGGTAAAAAGATCAAAAATTGCATAAGTTCCAGGTGAAAGGGCATGAAATAGATTTGTCTTCAGATTAGACATTTGTATATATGTTGCCACAAAGTACCCAGAGATATGGTTCTACAGTCACAACATTGGTCAAACTGCATAAAACTTTCAATTAAAATCATGAATCTGAGGATTGGCAATTCACATTATCATTAATTTGTGACTATACTGTGCCTTTAAGAGAAATGTTTCTTTTGCAGATGGGTTTTGTCACAGTGGTGCCGAGGTGTCTCCTCTCAGCAGGCACATTACAAATAGCCTTGCATTTCTCCCTGGGTGTTTTTTCAGTCAAAAGATTCATGAGTTGGAGGGGAGGTGGGTGTCAGGCCTACACAGACCCAGAGGACTTTGGTTTGGCTTTTCGTTTGTCTCTTTTTGTTAGTTAGGTACTGGAGCAGACAGCGAGAGTTCTCTCTGCTGCCAGATTGAAGGTTTAGATAGAGCAATTGCCTCTTAGAAATCAAAAGGAACAGATGTAGAGCTGGATGAACACAGCAGGCCAAGCAGCATCAGAGGAGCAGGAAAGCTGACATTTCGGGTCTGGACCCTTCTTCAGAAAACCAGAAACGAAGACCCGAAACGTCAGCTTTCCTGCTCCTCTGATGCTGCTTGGCCTGCTGTGCTCATCCAGCTCGACACCTTGTTATCTCAGATTCTCCAGCATCGGCAGTTCCTACTATCTCAGAAGGAACAGATTGTTTCTTTCAGTGTTTCTTTCTCTTGGATTGGAGATGGACTGCATGTGAGAATAATAATTGTTTTGTGGCACTGCATTTTGGCAAAGGTTGTGTTTATTGGATGCAGCCTATATTGGTTTGATGATTAGTGATCAAACAATACATTGTCTTGTTACTATATCAATAGAGTAAAATTATATTGACTCTTTGTTTTGTTGCATTTTAATTGCATTGTAAGAATAGCATGTTTTGATTAAAGCTTAGTGGTGGACCAATCAAATCATATTTGGAGCACAGTGCCTTACAGTTGCCTTTAAAATAAAATAAAAGTTAAAGTCTCCATTGCATATTTTGGGGGAGGTTGTTTTGGTCTGTAACAAATTTTAAAATAAAACTGTTTTGTTAAATATTATGTACATCACCTAATGTTGGATGCTACGCGTAGGAACACTTAATAATGGTAATTTTGTGAGATGAGTTAGTTCTGCACAAACATACAATATTGATTAATATCCCCAACTAGTAGCAGCGTTCAAAAGAAGGCAGCAGCAGTGGTGAAAGGAAAAGTCAGAAAGATTGCTTCATTAAGTAGGGAGAAAGGATACAGTATGAATTAAGAATAGGAGGAATGAGGAAAGAGAAAGGAAAATGTGTGTCAACAAAAAAGAAAAGGTAGAAGAAATGTTAATGTGAATGAGGAAGGGAAGAAGCATGAAAAACCAGTTTGAGTTAGGACATGGTTGGGGTTAGAGTGCTTCCATAAACTGGGAATCGAGGCAGGAAATTCATAAAGAATTTTGAAACAATTAGCCAAATCAAGTAATAGAATACTGTTACATATCTAGCAATGTCTGAGAGAAATTAGAGGAATGAGTATACCTTCTGTCACAATCTTCCATAATTTCCAGTTGATTTTGCATGTGGAATTCCAAGTTTTTGTCATATACTTGATCAAGAGCACAGTCAGGTCTTTTATATGAATCATGCTAATGAAGATTTGCTTATATTAATTAATCTCTTTATGAAGTATCGCATAACACACATTTAAAGAACATCATAACTTCGCTTGTCTTTAAAACATTTTCTCACATAGTTTTGGCAGGCTGTGCATCATGTTTTAACATTTTTGTAAAGAATGAAAGAACACTAGCGGGACAATTTTTGAAATTTTTACTAGAAAATGCAGGGTTTACCATAAAAATATACCATATTGTGACATTTCTGTTCACAACACATTTTTTGGTTGAGAATAAGGATACTGTACTTACTACTGCCACCCACTGGTACCATGGCTTCAGAATGGTCATTTGCATCCAGGTTGAATCCTCTGATAACAGATAGCTGGGACACAATCAAAAATGAATCAAAGGACGAGCAGGTCTTGTTATCTGGGTTCATATGGTAGCCTGTATTACAAGCACAAGTATAGGCTCCATTGGGTCTGGGTAGACACAGTTGTTCGCACGTTCCAATATTGTTACTGCATCCATTGGAGGAACCAGCTGACCCTAAGTGAAATTGAAAATAAAATGAAAGCACAACTAACTTTTGTGAGTGTAGTACTTCCAATGTCATGATATTCCAAATGTTCACAAACAATTTCATTTTCGAAGTGCAACACCCTTGTTCTACAGGCAAGTCATTTCTGCAATTAAGGTGGGGACATACCCTGGACTTAAAACCCTCTGAAGACAGAAGTTGTGGAAATTACAATGGTTTAAATTCATTGAACTTTTGGGACTCCAGAAACCATGGGCTGCAACTGAACCAGGAAAAGGCTGTTTGGGACAGACTGGGAAATATACAAGCCCAGGAGCAGATGTCTGAATAGCTTGCAGAAACTAAAGGAAGAACATAGAACATAGAACGTTACAGCGCAGTACAGGCCCTTCGGCCCTCGATGTTGCGCTGACCTGTGAAACCAATCTGAAGCCCATCTAACCTAAACTATTCCATTATCATCCATATGTTTATCCAATGACCATTTAAATGCCCTTAAAGTTGGCGAGTCTGCTACTTTTGCAGGCAGGGCATTCCACGCCCTTACTACTCTCTGAGTGAAGAACCTACCTCTGACACCTGTCCTATATCTATCACCCCTCAATTTAAAGCTATGTCCCCTCGTGCTAGCCATCACCATCTGAGGAAAAAGGCTGCCACTGTCCACCCTATCTAATCCTCTGATCATCTTGTATGTCTCTATTAAGTCACTTCTTAACCTTCTTCTCTCTAACGAAAACAGCCTCAAGTCCCTCAGCCTTTCCTCATAAGACCTTCCCTCCATACCAGGCAACATCCTGGTAAATCTCCTCTGCACCCTTTCCAATGCTTCCACATCCTTCCTATAATGCGGTGACCAGAACTGTACGCAATACTCCAAGTGCGGCCGCACCGGAATTTTGTACAGCTGCAACATGACCTCATGGCTCCGAAACTCAATCCCTCTACCAATAAAACCTAACATACTGTATGCCTTCTTAACAACGTTATCAACCTGGGTGGCAACTTTCAGTGATCTATGCACATGGACACCGAGATCTCTCTGCTCATCCACACTACCAAGAATCTTACCATTAGCCCAGTACTCTGTATTCCTGTTACTCCTTCCAAAGTGAATCACCTCACACTTTTCCGCATTAAACTCCATTTGCCACCTCTCAGCCCAGCTCTGCAGCTTATCTGTAACCTGCAACATCCTTCCGCACTATCCACAACTCCACCCACTTTGGTGTCATCCTCAAATTTACTAACCCATCCTTCTACGCCCTCATTCAGGTCATTTATAAAAATGACAAACAGCAATGGCCCCAAAACAGATCCTTGTGGTACACCACTAGTAACTGAACTCCAGGATGAACATTTCCCATCAACCACCACCCTCTGTCTTCTTACAGTTAGCCAATTTCTGATCCAAACCGATAAATCACCCTCAATCCCATGCCTCCGTATTTTCTGCAATAGCCTACCATGGGGAACCTGATCAAATGCTTTACTGAAATCCATATACACCACATCAACCACTTTACCCTCATCCACCTGTTTGGTCACCTTCTCAAAGAACTCAGTAAGATTTGTGAGGCACGACCTACCCTTCACAAAACCGTGTTGACTATCCCTAATCAAATTATTCCTTTCTAGATGATTATAAATCCTATCCCTTATAATCCTTTCCAACAATTTACCCACAACCGAAGTAAGGCTCACTGGTCTATAATTACCAGGGTTGTCTCTACTCCCCTTCTTGAACAAGGGGACCTGCATTCATGCCCCAGCTTAAATAATGGAAGCCAGACTGCAGAAAACAAACAACTTCAACAACTTTGGACCTTCTGGAGCCTACAGAGGTACAAAGCCATTCAATTTTCCAGCCAGCGCTCAGGCACAGAAATACTGAACATTCCACACCATGGCGTTACATGCAAACCTGTTCCACCTATGGATGTAAAAAACATTCACACCACTACTCAAACCTGAACAAATACTCATCCAAGGGAAATACTGGACATTCCAAAACCATCGAAACCATTCACTTTAATCGGAAAATCCACTCCAGTGCTCAGGAAGCCCATTCAGCCCCAATAGGAGGAACAATAGCTCGATAGATAAGGGGGCCTGCAGTTGGGTATAACTGGAGACCTGAGCCCAGCACTGGGCAGTGTGATACCAACACTGCAATACCAGCAATGTGCCCCGCTTCCAATGCGGTGTGTGCTCTGACGTGGACTCTGCGAGGGGAGTTCGAGAATTTGAGCGAGAAGCAAGCATCGCTTACAAAGGAGAGCAGCCCTTGCAACCACTGAACACTAGCAATTAACCATGGACCTCCACTTAACGCCCAGAGACAACTGAAGGCATCCAGAGACACAAGACACCGACGGGGCAACACCAATAGCATCCACCACCATCCAAGACAACAACCTGTTCGCAAGGACCACCGAGAAAAGAAAGAGAACCCAAGCTACTCACCAGTCTGGTCCCACGCATTTAACCACATCAGCGGACACCACTAGACTGACTGTTACTGGCACTTGCGGCCCTTCCTGCAGACCCAGCTACGGCAAGAGACTATGGACAAGAGCCAGTCAAAATCACGTTTCACTCCAGAGGTGAACCTAAGGTCATCAAGACCCTCTAACCCAGATTGACTAGTCATAGATAGGGGAAGGTGGGGTTCGGGGCTAACGGTGGAGGGCTTCCCTCAGGAAGGGAAGTGGAATAGGACTCCGAGTCAGCAGGTACTCTCTCACTCTCTCTCTCTTTTCCCTGTTAGCATAAGTAACAGTCATCCACTGTATCTACTTACGCACTGTATCAAGTCTTAACTGGGGGTTAAGTTAACTGGGAGACAGATCTCAGTCATCGATAGGGCGGGTTTTGATATTCACTTTCTTGTTTTCTGTAAATATATTCAATTTGCTTGTTTTTCAAAAAAATCAAAGTTTTCTTTGCCTCTGAAGCATCTGCCTCCTGTGTTTTCCACCACACCACATTCCACTACATAAGCCCAGGGTCAGAACCAGGGAGCTGGTGAAGAATTAACCAGGCAGTACTCTCTACATGCATGTTGGCCTCCCATAAACAACAAAAAACCAATTGCCAATTAATCTGTGAAATATAAAAATTGATATAATCAATGCTTTTCAAAGGTTTTTTTTTTACAAAAGCACTTTTATATTCTTGCTTTGGCAATCCCATATTATGATATAATTTACAATGTAAATCGCAACTCATACTTGTTCTTACATTCATTATTGAATCTTCCATTACCAATTCAACTTATAATCAGAATGATACAGAGCTCATCTGATAAGAAATACTTTATCTTTTGCAATAAGCATTTCTCATCTTTTCTCAGCTCGAGCTAGAGAGTCTATATATGAAGTTTTGGATTTTCTTAGAAAGTAATTGGTACCAAGTGTGATAAAGTATTCGCATGATAAAGCATGCAGGTAGGCTCTAAGTGAGCGAGTGAGTGCTAAGACAGTAAGCAAGCAAGCATCCCAATGTGCAGCCTGATCCAATCTGTCCCTGTGCATAAAGTGCCCTTGCAGCAGTTTTTCAATGCTAGTTGCTAGTGTACCCTGTAACACAGGTCGATGTTTCCTAAGCATCCCAAATGTGGATTGGAGAGGGATATGAGAATCCTGAGGAGTTGGCAAATATCAAATGCCAATGTCAATCGTTGAGGCGTCAGTGCAGCTGGTGCCTGTGGATCATGCCCACTCCAGTAAGGAGTGGCCAAGGAAAATCGGAAAAGATGGTGGTGGGAAGAATACAAGCAGCATGGGCTTGAATGGCAGGGGCTGCAGCGAGAAATTTGTCAGAACCGATCAAGAAGTCGGGCTAAGCTGCTCACGCTGATCAAGAAGAAGGCTCTTCACAGTCAGAGTCTAGTTTGCTTGCGGTGAGCAGTAGGATGATTAACCTCAAATTAGCGATGTGGGATGTGCAGTTCATTAAAAAACAAAAATCTGCTTAATAGACTGCCTAAAGAGAAGCTTGCTTTGCCTAGAACTTGTTTAAAGGATGAAGCGAGTTAGTCCCAAATATCAAGATAGGCTTAGCCCGACTTCTTGCTCGGTTCTGACAAATTTCTCGCTGTAGCCCCTGCCATTCAAGCCCATGCTGCTTGTATTCTTCCCACCACCATCTTTTCCCATTTTCCCTGGTCACTCCTTACTGGATCTTCAGAACGGAGGTAGTCTGCTGCTTGTTCTGGTTAATGCCTATTTGGTATGAATGAGTTGGTAACACTCAATTTTTTTTTTTAAATTTTGGGTGGTGTAATAACAGGATGTACCACAAGGTAAGTACATGAACCTGAACGAGAGCGTGAAGAAGTTTTACGGTTACTGGTGTTCATTTAAGCCACAAGTCTCTCAGTCTGGCTCGTGTCTCAATAGTCTAGGTTTAAAAAGTAAAGGTCATTTTGTATTATATTCTCATCTGCACAGAACAGAGTTGTGCTGTGCATAGCTTCACTGTGAAGTTCTTTGATTGGTAGCATGAATCTACATTAACATGAACATTTCTGGCATAAACACTGAAATGCAGTTTAAGCTCTAGCAATTCCTCTAGCAGATTCCACTCTTAATCGTGTAGATAACTGACAAGACAGCAACTTCCTCATAACTTGCTTCAAGATGCAAGCTTACATGGAATTGAGTATGGGAGCTAAGTTAGTACAAACTTTTTTCAGTGCCTAAACTTACATTAAAAAGCACTCGAACTGATTGCTTTATTTTTTGAATGTTCAAACAATGACATAAAGATTTTAATTTATGCAATTTATTCAAGATTTTAAATTCTGCAAAGCTTCTTTTTTAAAACTGGAAGGCAAGACAGTGAGTTCTTCCACCCACTCTTTCAGCCTGTCATTATTTCAAAATCCCAAAAATGAGCATTTTTTTCCCAAACATTTCAACTAGATAACTACATATTTTGTGTGTGACAGACGCCCATGCATCATAAAAAAGGCAGAGGTCAGAGTTAAGATCAATTGTTCCAA